AATGACTATTTTAATAAGATATTCCAAAAAATATTTAATGCACAGATTCGACTCAGAATTTTATTGTATGTATAGATTTGCCGTAAACTGTCCAGTGAAAAATATTTGGTGTGGACTTCATTAGAAACAATTGTTATTTTAATTTAATTATTATTCGAGCATAAACGCTTGATTCAGATACTCATATTAATACACACTTTTAGCAATAGCAACAATTTGGACAAAATAATATTTGTTATCTATATCTACATATAAAAAAATTGTAACTAAGCCGAATCTGTACATTAAATATTTTTTAGAAAATCTTATTGAAATAAACATTATTATCGATACAGAGGTCGTATCTATAGTTTTTAGATTTTTTGTCTGTCTGTCTGTCTGTTACCGCATCACAGAAAAATCACTGGAGGGATTTTGATGAAATTTGGTATAATGATAGCTGGTTATCCGGGTCAATATATAGGATACTTTTTACTGCGGGAAAATATCTCGTTTCTGAGAAAAAATTGCAAAAACTGCAATGTAAGAGTATACTGACTGTAAAACTTAAGAATTTGGTTTTTAGTCATCTGAACACGGGCAATACTAGTATAAAATATAATAGTTGACATACTCTTGATTATTTTCATGAAACCGATTACGGAGCGATAGGAGTGTTTTTTTAATATTACGTCGTTACATCAAGTACTTGAGCGAAAAAGTTATTTAGAGCCCAATTAGTAAGTTATAATTATAAGTTTACAGAACTTTGAAGTTATCTTAGCCTTCTTAGACGTTTGAGTTTAATAAAGGTATTTATAAAACTGATCTAACTTTAAGGGCTATAATTCACCGTACAATCTATTCTAGTTTTAAGAAATAGGTTATTATTTTACAATAAATCATCTTTTTTTTTAATATGTTGGGACATTAACACACAGCACCATCTACGTCCATGGTAAGATATTACTAGTGTTATGGATACCAGATAGTTGATACACTACACATATACAACTTTAGTACCCATGAATGGAGTACAAACATTCGAGCTCATCACAGAAAAGAAAGCCACCAGCGGGACTCGAACCAGCGACCGTTGGTATAGCAAGTAAGTTTGTGGGTCACTACAAACTCAGACAAACGTGTCGTCAAACTCATCAACATCTTATCTCAGCATCGTTATTTTATAATCGATTTCTCAGTGCCTTGTCTTTAATCACTTTGGAAGTAAGTCGTAAACTTTATGTAAATATATAGCTATCTTCTATCCAAAGTTAACGTTTATCTTTTTATTCAGTATAGAAATTATATATATATATATATATACACACACACACACTCACATATATATACATTTACTTATTGTTGTCAAAGATTACCAGAAAACAAATACCTAAATGTTGAAAGACTTTTAGCGAAAAAGCGTAGACACTTTTAGGGTTTTGTAACCAAAAATGAAACTCTATCATGGCATATTAACTCGTTGATACGTCTGTCTGTAAGTCAAAACCAATTACTTAGAGACGAAAAGTACAAGAGCAGTAGAGTAGTAGATATCTCTATCGATTTGCGAAGCTGTAAAGTTAAATTACGATAAAAATTACACAAGTACTCGATTTTTAGGAGTTAAAAAACATTTTATGTACTGTGGAGTCTTTTTGAAAAAAATAATAAAAAAATGAGGTGGTTGACTTATATAAAAACTTTTTAACAAAAAATAAAAACCGACTTCAAACAAAAGCACTAAAAAGTGAAAAATAACTGATTGGTAGTTTTCATTTACTATACATACCTAATCAAATATTTTCGAAGTCGGTGTGCTTTGCTTTGTATGGGCTGGCACCGATTTCAAAAATATTTCATTAGGTATGTATTTAATAGGTAGGCTTTAATTACTTAGCCAAAGCACACCGACTTCGAAAATATTTGATTAGGTATGTATAGTAAATGAAAACTACCAATCAGTTATTTTTCACTTTTTAGTGCTTTTGTTTGAAGTCGGTTTTTATTTTTTGTTAAAAAGTTTTTATTTTTCCCTTTTTAGTGTAGACAGTAGTAGCAAAGTAAGGATTCTAACGTGTTAGGCTTGTCAAATCAAACAAAATAAGCCCAAACTCAAAGTATCTACTATTAGCCGTTGAAGAGTTCCACCTATCCACCTTCTGGCCTTGCCATCAGATCAGGTCAACAACACCGAACCACTGTACTATCAACGGAAATAGAAATACTTGCAAAGTTTCAAGTCAATATGACAATTAGAAGTAGGTTAAATTCATTATTAGTTGTTTTTCCACCCTTAGGGGTGGTATTTTTTTTGAAATTTAAATGGGACCAATCTGGAAGTATACCCTTTTAAAAAAAACAAAAATTGTCCAAATCGGTCAATAAATGACGGAGTTCTGAGGTAACAAACATAAAAAAAAAAAAAAAAAAAAAAAAAAAAAAAACATACAGTCGAATTGAGAACCTCCTCCTTTTTGAAGTCGGTTGAAAAGTTGATGGTTGACATATGAAAGTTATATTGTCGGCTGGCACCGACTTCGAAAATATCTGATTAGGTATCTATTCTTAATGAAAACCCCCGTTTAGTTATTTTTTTCATTTTAGTGCCAGGAAGTCGGTTTTTTTTAAGTTTTTTTTTGATGACTCATTATGATCTCTAAAGCTAATTGTCTTAAGAGTTAAGACATATTAGTTTCCTCATATTTTTCAGATTATAAAATAATATAAAACCCTAATTCTGTACAGTCACCGGTAATTACCTAAATTAATGTTTTAAAGCATTAGTTAGTGTAACCCGAGCAACAGTTAAATCGATACATCATATTTTAGTATCAAGTTGTTCGTCGAAATTCATATCGAAGTTAAAATTGTAACTGTATAGTATTAAGCTTGGCTTTTGAAATATATTATTAAAGTACTTTTTTTTCAAAATGGTTAAAGTTAATAAAACGAATTTAAAACCAAAATCTGTGTATTTCGGACATCCACAACAGTTTTGGAGGGTTCGTATTATTCATCTCTTAAGTATTCTATGAATGTATATAGCTACTTATGTGTCACATATATAATATACTAGCAGAACCCGCGGCTTTGCTAGCCCGAAAACTACAAAATAATCTCTAAAAAGGTAGTTTCATACAAACTTTCATCCCCTATTTTACCCCCTTATAGGATAAATTTCGAAAAGTGCTGAAACACGTATTTATTTAATTTCATTGAAGACCATAAATACCAAGTTTCAAGTAATTCTGATCATAAATATTTTTTTTGGATTGTATTATAACGTGTTTTCCCCTGGGAAAGAGATAATCTCCTGCAGTAAAAAGTAGCTTATGGCCCTCCAACTATCTCTACATAAAAAATCACGCCAATCCGCCAAGCCGTTTAGACGTGAAAGAAAGATAAACAAACAAACAAACAAACAAACAAACACACTTTCACATTTATAATATTAAGTATGGAAGTATGGATTTACAGCTACGACAGCACGGTGACAACGAGACGCATATTAATGTGGAAGACATGAAAAAAACAATAGATATCGTAGATTACGATTCCGTTCATTTACAAAAGTAAGTATAATTTTATATTCAATGTTTATTATCTGCCTAGTAAAGTTTTACCCCCAAAAGGAAATCGAACCTATAGTTAATGATGTAATAGGCATACATATTGTAATTATAAAACACTAGCGTCTCACCTTCGTCCTTTCTTACGTTTTAACGGTTTTTACGGTTCGTCCCTTCTTACGTTTTAACGTTTAGTATAGATTTCTCAGAAATGAGATATTTTCGCAGTAAAAAGTATCCTATATGTAGTTGGCCCGGATAACCCACTATCATCATATTAAATTTCATCAAAATCTATCCAGTGGTTTTTCCGTGATGCGGTAACAGACAGGCAGACAAAAAATCTAAAAAATATAGTTTTTTTTTATGGGACTAAGGGAGCAAACGGGCAGGAGGCTCACCTGATGGAAAGTGATCACCGCCGCCCATGGACATCTGCACCACCGCAGGGCTTGCAGATGCGTTGCCGGCCAAAATTCGGCCTCTGTATCGATAATAAAGTTTATTTCAATAAGATTTTTCAAAAATATTTAATGTACAGATACGGCTTAGTTACAATTATATAGTATACAGTATACAATACTATATGTATAGATTACGTGCTATAATCAAAACATGATATTCATTCATGTCATATTCATAAAGAATTAAGATTTTATCTGAAGCCAAAATTTAATTGTGGTCTTCCTCGAATTTATATGTAATTAATTTGGTCTGAAACAAAAGATTCAATTAACTGATAAGGATATTAAAAGCGTATTTGTACATATATGTAGCTATGCAATACTGCCGTTTAAAATGTTATTTTGTGTTTTCTTAATTATTAATTACTAGCATTGCCCGCGGCTCCGCCCGCGTTCAGAGGACCAAAAAATAAATTCTTAGGTTTTACATATTAGTATACTCTTACATTGCAGTTTTTGTATTTTTTCTCAGAAATGAGATATTTTCCCAGGGTAAAAAGTATCCTATATATTGACCCGGATGTGACCGGAGTGGTTTTTCTGTGATGCGGTCACAGACAGACAGACAAAAATTCTAAAAACTATAGATTCGGCCTCTGTATGAGTATCGATAATAATGTTTATTTCAATAATATTTTCCAAAAAATATTTAATGTACAGATTCGGCTTATTTACAATTTTATTATATGTATAGATAATTCAAACGAAAAATCATTAAACTCGTGATATATTTTGATAAAATTGCCAAGATAAATAAAAATATAATTTTAAGATATAAATGTAGAGTCTGTGCTATTAGGCTTAAAAAGTATAGATGAAAAATTTTTAATTTTATTTTAGAGCTATTGTGAATAGGGCAGAAGAAAAAGTCAGAAGAATGTTGGAAGATGAAGATGATAAACTTTGACAAAGAAGAAAAAAGCTTAATCTTCTTCTATATAAAGAACAATGTGACTGGGCTCAAGAAATATTGATGAAACAAAAAATGCAAGAATGTGGATATTGCAAGGAAAAGGAGATGAAGCTACAGAAATATGAAGAAGAAATAGAAACAGAGAAATCGCGGGAATGTTTAAAAGCATTAGAAAGAGAAAAGATGTAAGTTGTGTTTATCGATGAACATTACATGTTTAATTCCATTTTCATTTTTCTTGAAATAACATAAAATAATTATAATCACTTTGCAACTCTGCTATGCATGGAACAAATGGATGGGATGTGGAAGAAAAGTACCTTAAATATTAAAGTTATCAAGTTTTACTCAAACGAAACATATTTTTATTTTTTTTCCTACGTTCCATACGTTTGTTCCATCATGTATTGTACAAATTATACATAACTAGCAGAACTCGCGGCTTCGCTCGCGCTAAAACTACAAAAAAACTCTAAAAAGGTAGGTTTCATACAAACTTTCATGCTTTATTTTACACCCTTATGGGATAAATTTCGAAAAGTGCTAAAACATGTATTTATTTAATTGTACTGAAGAGCATCAATACCAGTTTCAAGTAATTCTGATCATAAATATTTTTTCGCATTGAATGAAATAATCTCCCGCGGTAAAAAGTAGCCTATGTCACTCTCCAGCTCTCCAACTATCTCCACACAAAAATTACGCCAATCAGTCGTTCCGTTTTCACGTGAAAGAAAGACAAATAAACAAACAAACAAACAAACAAACAAACAAACAAACAAACAAACAAACACACTTTCACATTTATAATATTAGTATGGATTATAACGTGTATTTATAATAATGTAAATCTTAATCTATAGAGCGAATGGCATGCGATGTACTAAATCAGATGAAAAAAAGCTACGCGAGATACAAAAAATGCAGATGCGCGAAAAAAAGAGTATAGAGCAACAACAAGCTGATATTGATAAGCTCTGGCACAAAGTGTTGATAGACAACGTTAAAACAAAGGTTTGATTCACGATTCTTTTGAATCTATATTTCAAATGTTAGTAATTATATTTTTGAGCTTAGGGTCTAGGTTTATTTTTCTCTCTTTCTTCTCCATAAGTTCATTTCCGGATTAACAAAATGACTTTCAAAGATCAAGTAAGAGAAGGAAGGACGTGGATGTTGTTTTTCAGCAGCAGATATAGTTACACAATCTCTTTATCAGTGCTTGCTGTAGCACCTGCAATGTTGTCGTATTTGACAGCTATGTGCTAGAATTCGCTAAATTTGAAATAATATATGTACCAATAATATTTAATATTTATGTATCATTTTGTATATATTTCCATATAAAAATATGTACAGGAGCAACAGGAAAGAGTTGAAAAGGAAAGACTTAAACAAGAAATGATAGAAAGACGCCTGGCATATGATGAGCAAATAGCTAGTGCGAACAAACTGCAGCGGGAGTTGTTGCAGAAAGAAAGAGAAATAGAGAACAGAAGGCTGGAGAAGATGAAAAAGAAAATGGAACAAGATTATTACGACGGTAAGTTTAAACGGTTGCTATACGATTAATTAATAATTTTCATTATATTTTCTCTATAAATGATTGACCATGCACTTAATAAGGTTTTGTGTCTTAGTTCACTTTAATAGAAAGAAAAGTAGGTGCAATGATCAATGTATCATTTTCTGTATTTACAATATATAGAACATATTCGAATTATTTTTCTTATTAAGTATAACGTTTTATTTTATTGTATATGTCACTTATATTGTAATTAGTTTTGTTTCTATAATAATTTGTTATTTATAATATCAAACAATTATTAAAAGTTTATTAATAAATAATAATTGTAGCAATGAAAAGAAAGAAAGAGCAAGAGTTAAAAAACAGAAAGAACTTTATAGAAGGACATCAAATTAAATTGTCTAATCTACGAAGCGAGAAGATACAAGAAAGAAATATGGACATTAATACTATAAATATTGCCATGGAAGAATTAAGGAAAGAGCGACAAAAGAAGTTAGAGCACATTGTGAGATTTCGTAACGTCATTTAGATATAATACTTTTAGTGTAGCATAGATTTATACTATACTTCTTTCAACTATATTTTTTACAGCAATCACTGAATGTAGAAAAACGAATATTTGTAGAAAATTATAAGCGCGAAAGAAAGATGGCGGACCAACTAGAAAAGGAAGCAGAGAGAATAGCAAATGAATGGAAAGAACAAGGAGAGAAGGAGAGCGATGAGTTTTATAGGAATAGGGAAATGGAAAAACTTAAAAATCGAATGGTAAGATAGGGAATATAATGTTGAAAAATATATAATTTATCCATCTAGATATAATAAGAGCCAATTTTGGTTACAACGGTGCTCATACGCAGAAGCTAACACTTTAAATAATAAAATAATAAAGTAGGACAGCTGCAGCTCGATAGGTCCTGGTCTTAAATCCTGGGGCGGTCTAATGTTTTTGTGTATATCAAAAATATAACAGTTGAAATGAAATTTTCTAGAGTGCCTCCCAAGAATACAGAAGACACATAGAAGATAGAAATCAACAACTGGCACAGAAGAAAGAAGAACGAAAGCAGATGATGGAAAGAGTAAGAAGAACTGCTTATAGCGAATTAAGAAGAAACTTAGACAGTGCTAACGAGGAGATGAGACGTCAAATTGAATACCAACACGCATTGACTAATCAAATTCGAGATAATGACAAAATTATGGTAAGTTTCTAATTTAGTAACTTGTTAAGTTCAAACATCTGAAAGATAAAAACGCAATACATAGTAGGTACATATATCATGTACGTATACTTAGCTTAACATAAAATATTTTTTATCCAAATTGTTAAATCTTTAATATATAATAATATATTATGTATATAGGTACCTATTTTATATACCTACCTTATATGTATATAGGTATTGTTAAACATCACAATAAAAAATTACCAAAATTGAATTTTAGGAAATGGAATTAAACGAAATTGAAGAAAAACAGCGCGCGTTCACGAAAAAGTCGATTATGTTTAGAGACGCGATGAGAGATAAGACGAAGCAACCGCCTTGGTAAATATATATTTGATATATAAACAAGCACAAATATATAAAGAGTTTTAGGTTTAAAAATACAGATATGTATTTTTGTTAAATAAATACTCTTAGAAATGCATTGGACAAAGATTATAGACGTAGCTTATGTTGGTATCCTAGATAGGCCTACAAGAGACATAATTATAGAGTAGCCAAGGTCTATCTGGCATGTACGACCTCAGATCCGGAGGTTCTGGGTTCGATTTTCGAGGCATAAAATCTGCGCAATTGGCTAGTCTTATAGTCGGTGGGATTCTTCAGGAATCAGTTAGGAAGTCATTATTTTTATTAATATTATATAATATCAAATCATCATAAGCGAGATTTAGTTAATAATTAATTAATCATAAATACTGCAAAATGCAAAGACATACATATTTATTAAAAAAGAGTGTTATTTATATTTAACAAGGACATGTTGTGACCAAAAAAAAATTTTTTTTCAGCGAGAATCCCGTTCATCCCTTTAGAAAAATTTTGCAGGCGCAAGAAACAAGTTCATTATCACTACCACTCATAAATAGATATGGATACTGAATTTCAATTAATAATAAAAACGAAATACTTACCTGCCTACCTAAAATCTATTAATAAAATGCATTATTATTATTAAAAAGCCTTTGGCATATTATTTTATTATACCATTCTATTTTTATAAAACATAGTGATAGCTCAGTGGTAATGCACTGGTTTGGAAAATCGAATGAAGCAGATTCAAATCTCGGGTCTGGAATCTCTCGACTTGAGTTAATACATTGAAAGTAGTCGTAAATGCTAAGCTGTGGGAGGTTAAAAGGGCTGCATTATATTTATTATGAATTTATACCACCCACTCCTATCCTCCATAGTACCTAATTGTTACTACAAAAACACTTCATATAACATTCAATACGTTATAATAAATTTTACATTCTCATTCCTGATTTAACGTAATTTTAGTCAATTCTATACATATTATAATAAAATTGTAACTAAGTCGAATCTGTACATTAAATATTTTTTGGAAAATGTTATTGAAATATACATTATTATCGATACAGAGGTCGAATAGTTTTTAGAATTTTTGTTTGTCTGTCTGTCTGTCTGTGACTGCATCACGAAAAACCACTGGAGGAATTTTATTTAAATTTGGTATGATGACAGCTGGTTAACCGGGTCAACTTAAAAGGATACTTTTTATTGGGGGAAAATATCTCATCTTTGAGAAATCTATACTAAATGTTAAACGTAAGGGACGAACCCAAACGGAGCGAGGGTGAGTCGCCAATTAAGTCATATATTTGCATTATTCTCTAACAACCTTCCACTATTATATTTTTATAGAGTAACTTATCTTAGTTAAGTTAGCTTTCTTTGCTTTAACTACCTACCTTACAATACTAGCTTTGACTCCCCGTTAAAATATTTCACTGTTATTATATGGCGTTAATTGTTAAATATTATTGGGCTATTATTTTGGATTTAAGTAAATTAACAAAAATATAAAAAAAAAAACATCAATTCTTTTGAGAGACGTGAATGGTTAATGTTACAGACAAGTTAAATATTTCCCAAAAATTCTACTTAAATTTAGGTTTTTATTAATAACAATTAATAAATTAAAAAATTTATACCTATATTATGTATTTTGATGTAGAATAAGATTTTAATTTTTAACATTTTTTTCTCATTTCCGTTTAAAGCCAAAAATCTGTATTCGATTGGTTGTAACTTATATTTCGGTTTTGCATAGGTACTACTAGTGAGTACTGAGTAGTGACATCTCTTTATTCCTTTAGGAAACAGAACGTCAAAGTGTTTGGAAATAACATCCAACATTTCTTATTTTTATCTTTAACTCGAAATAAAATACAATTTATTAATAATAAACAGATAATATTGTGTTAAAAATAATAATATATTTTACTTATTACCTTAAATATTTATGATACATATTGTAAAATATTAAAGCAAAAACAAAACGCACTTGCGCTAAAACTATTTTGAATTTGAATTGTTTCAAAACAAAATGAATGAAACATCCTTTTATTAACTTTTTATTTAATTAAAAACTTCAATAAGTGTTTTATTATTTGATATTTATATAAAATACGAAGAATATATATTTTTACCGGTGACGAATATTTACGAGGGTATTTACCTAAATTGGGATTACTATTGTTTTTAATATGACATTATTAAATTTCATCAATCATCTTAATATATTTTAGTAGGTAATTGGCATACACGTGCTTGGGAGTGTCCATATTTTTTAAAACAATGGAAGATGACGAAAAGTTATCATATCGACGCTTACAGAATCGTAGTTACCGGTCTTTACAACAATTATCTAAATCTTTAGATTTACCTTCTAATTATAAGGTAAGTACTAAGTATATTAAGTAAAATAATTACAAGTAAAATATATATAATTTATTGTATTTCTATAATTTTTAGTCCTTTTATTATATTGCTGTAATCCAACATCACATATCTCATATCTTTAAATAACGCCACGTTTTTTTTTTATTTCCAAATGCAGAAAATGTATTTAATAGAACTTATTCAAGCTAAGAAGTTTAAATCTCAAACAGAAGTAGACAATATAATACGTAGAGTAAAACTAGAAAGATTACAAACATCAAGGGCTAAAAGGGAATCTCGAAGAAGGAGATTGCAGGTACATGTAACACTTGCCAATTTAATAATGGTATCCATAATATATAATTATTTATGATTATATTTAGTTATTATTTTATTCTAGTGATTTTAGTAATTATTTTTGTGTAATATATTTATATACATATTTACTAAATAAAAAAAGTAATCTGTAAGCACAGCTTTTAAAACTTTTGTAAAATGTGTGTAGGTATTATCAAATTATCTATGATAATTATTATTAAATAATAAATTAAATACTAGAAAACTCGTTTATAGATTGCAATTAAGCCAATTCAAAAAAATAACCTGAGGTAAGTTGAATATCATAATATTATATATTATACCAATAAAGTTGGGTGCTTTACTACTAAATTACACATTATTATCAAAAGTATTTTACCAATGTAACAATTTATCACAGCTTTATTTGATTTTAAATTTAAAATGAATAAACTTTTTCAGTATACTGAACTACCTTCAACTAGCACAACCTGTTTTTCTCCACAAATAACGCAAACTCCTAAGCGTCCAGGACATATGTACATACCCTGCACTGACGCACAAAAATCACTCTTGACCTGCAATCCTAAGAGAAATTTAATGCAAAATTTAAATCAGAACCCTTTACCTAGTGACAGGGTGTTAAGAAGTTTTAATATGAAAACTGTCAAACCGAATTATGCCTTATTGAGTGGCCAAGAAATTAAACCACAGGCAAATTCTAGAGAAACAAGGATCAAAATAGTTGCAAATGGAGGTTTTCCACAATTTAATGTTACAGCAAAATGTGTTGTCAAAAAACATAAACCTAATATATTGCAAAATTCTTTGAAAAGACCACTTATGTTGACACAAGGCCAGGTATGTGATATATTTTCATTAACAGTTAAGAATTTATTTTAACTTTTACACCATTTTTTTTTAAATGGCACCAACATTACGTTCATTGCATTAAATTCTACCAAAATTACTTTAGGGATACTTTTTTATTTATTTTTTCTACTTCAACTATAATCATTTCTATGAACTTCAATAGGGTTTGTGGGAGTGATTTCCTTCATTGTTTTAGTTTTTGACCATAAAATAAACAATTTCTAAATTTAACAAAAAGTAAAACAACCCTGAAGTCATCTGAAAGCCCTTCTCACGCTGCAACTATTGAACGAAAATATTAAACCAAATAATATATTTTTTATACATGCATATATTATGCACTATGTTATTTTAGTCTTAATATGTGTCTTGCAAAATAACGAGTATATAATAAATATAGTACAGTACAATAGATCAAAAAAGTGCTTAAAAATTGAGCATTTGACAATTAGTAAGTGTTCATTATTTAGCAAATAGCAATCGGTTGATAACTTGCCTAGAAATTAGTTTAAAGGCAATCAAGTAACCCATCACAGGTTAATGGCAGCTTATACCGGATTATTTTAGAAGGCAAGATTTACTTGAAAACATCTTCATTACTTACGCACTCAAGTACGACGTCTCGATGGCTGCCTGCCGAGGCAGAACAACCTAGGGGTTGCTCCCACGGTCCACTTTGCTATCAGAGAAGTACCTGGAGCAACCCACAACCTCCCACAATAAAAATCAACTTATATTTTCAGGATTTGGTACAAAACCCAAGTAAGCGTCAAAGAACATTAAGTGGTATATATCCAATAATGCCAGAAGCCATTCCCAGAGACCTGCACAGCACAGAAAGTGTGTGTTTACGCAAAATGGACGGTAGTCTAACAAAAATAAATGCGTTAGTGCAAAAAAGGAACGTCGATTTGATACCACGGCCGAAAAATAACTATAGAAATGCCGGAATTAATATACAAGATGTTGTAAACACTATGGAAGATGCATTCACTGGCAATCTTTTGGCTGAGCCCAGCGTAAACAACAATTACATACAAATTGAATACCCAAATATGTCAAGTTTTGATATGAATTGCAATATAAATCCTCAAATGTCCATTGGGAGTACTGGAAATGATAATTTAGATATGTATTCCGTATACTATCATAAGAAAATAAGATCAGAACAAATAAGATGTCAAAAGTTAAGAGAAATGCAAGAAAGCAATAGATTGCCTAGAATCAATGATGTTTTCAGTAAATTCAATAATGTACATAGAATTGATTTAACTCAGCCTTTATATGTACAAGTCAGTACTGAATCAGAAAGAAGTAAGTGTTTTTTTTATATATTCGTTTTAACCGACTTCGAAAAAGTAGATTTAAATTGGATGTATTTTAACATGTTTTTATTTGCATCTCTTGTAGCGATATAATCGAATGGGAGACGATTTAAAATCACTCTTTATGGTCGTATCCATTTGAAATTTTGTTAGTATATGAGATCTACATAAGTCAATAATTTGTTACCATCAAGCTGACTGAGGATGGAGCCAGAAGGTGGATAGTGAAACTTCAATAGCTACTAGTAAAACCGAGTTCGAAATTGGGGTTTAATAATGACTATATAAAAACATAACTACTAAACTATATTAATATGTAGCATATAGGCAGTGGTAACTGGTAGCCCAGTGGTAACGCGCTCGCTTGGGAAACCTAGTGAAGCGGGTTCAAATCCCGGGACTCGCACCTCTGATATTTTTATGTGCGAATCATTTCTAACATGGTTACCACTTGTCTTACGGCGAAGGAAAACATCGTGAGGAAACCTGCATGTCTGAGAGAACCTAGCAAGTTTCCGAAAGACATGTTCAGGCCGCCCGCACTTAGCCAGCGTGGTGGAAATGGTCTGATCCTCCTCGTATTAAAGAAAGGCCCACCCCCAGCAGTGGGACGTTAAAAGGGCTGAATTTATAAAGTATATTATTTATTAAAAATAAAATTGATATTTTATGCGGCTTTATTTCGATTGATTTGATATATTCGCTTACGGTTACCGACGTTTCGAATGCATTACAGCAAACGTAGTATGAGTCAATGTCGATAGTTTTATTTAAAAGGTCAAATTTTCGCGTAAATCTAAGATAAAATTAATATATTGACATAGAAAAACTCAAGGTAAACAATTAGCATCTCAAAGTACTCAAAAAGAAGCGCACAATTCGAGATTATGCCGTTTTTTCAAATCTCTTTTGTTCATTGCTTTTCGGATGACAAAATTAATGTTGTTTCGTTTAAAAAAGTACTTTATGTGGTGTACGTAAGTTCGAATTTGTGTTTAGACAAGTAGAACTTTCGTTTTTTTTTAATTTAATCTTTAGTTTGTCTTAACGTCATGTGTCGATGGCACTTTTTTAAGAGATATTTGTTAGGAAATGTGTATTTATGTTTTTATATATCCATGTAGTATATAGTAATATACTTTTAAATCAATTTCCAGGTCAAAGTCATCCTCTATACACAAGCAGAGAGCAATATAACACGATAATGCTGGAAACTGTATACAACTTTAAAAACCAGATGTTAACGAATGCACCGCTATTAAAAGTAGTTACTACAACCAGTACCAAATTAGTGTATGCAACACCTACAGTCACTACACCGTAAGTTTTTGTTATATATCTGACTAGCATTGCCCGTGACTCCACCCGCATTCAGGTGACAAAAACCATATTCTTAGGTTTTACATATTAGTATACTCTTACATTGCAGTTTTTGTATTTTTTCTCAGAAATGAGACATTTTCCCGCGGTAAAAAGTATCCTATATGTTGATCCCGATAACCAGCTATCACCATACCAAATTTCATCAAAATCGCTCCAGTGGTTTTTCTGTGATGCGGTTACAGACAGACAGACAGACAAAAATTCAAAAAACTATAGATTCGGCCTCTGTATCGATGATAATGTTTATTTCAATAAGATTTTCCAAAAAATATTTAATGTAAAGATTCGGCTTATTTAGAATTTTATTATATGTATAGACTATCCTACTAATATTATAAATGCGAAAGTTTGTAAGGATGTATGGATGTTTTAAATAAAACTATCTTTTCGGTTTTTTTGACATGATTACGATGACGGTGGATAGACAGCACACATCATTGTATAATTTTGTAGGTAAGTGCTGTCTGTTACAAGTATATAACTAGCTTTGTAACGTCTAAAACCTTAGTCTCTCCCGTGACCTGATTGCTCTAAAGCATTCGAAATATCGGGAACCAAAAATCAAAATAAATCCATGATAAAATCTGAAATGATAGTTTTATTTAAAATGTCAAATATACGCGTAAATCTAAGAAGGTATGGATGTTTGTTATTTTATCACACAAAAGCTACTGAACTGTTTTGATGACACTTTTCTTTAGCTTATACATCAGAGTAAAACAAAAACTATAATTTTTAAAGATCTACATGAACTATATACTAATATATACAATGAGTAATGCTTCCTTGACTTGGGCGTGCCTAAGTGCTTTGTATTTTACAGTTCTACCCTCTTTCATTCGTCTTTAATATTTGTAAATTTACTTCATGCCATCATAATATATTTGCTTGAGTTAGACAGATTTCTGATGCTCTCATATACATAATACTAGCAGCTCACCGTCGCTTCGCTCGGGTTAACCTCAAAGAAAGAAAACAAAAACAAACCTATCTGACGGGAACCTTACATTTTTCCAGGATAAAAAGTATGTTATTCCAGACTATAATCTATCTCTGTGCCAGATTTCATCTAGATCCGTTCAGCCGTTCTGGCGTGAAAGAGTAACAAACATCACAACACACAAACTTTCACATTTATAATATTTATACAATATGTATATTATCACTTGTATGATGAAAGTTCTCTCAATCAATAAACCATCATCATAACCAAAATCATTCAGAATGTCATTATAGCCACTATTTTATGTACATTAAACAAGTGATCAGAATAAAAATGTAATATTTAATACATACAAGTATTATAAATGTGAAAGTTTGTGGGGATGGGATGGATGGATGTTTGTTACTCTTTCAAGACAACGGCTGAACGGATCTGGATGAAATTTGGGACAGAGATAGATTATAGGCTGGAATAGATCATAGGTTTATTTTTATCTCGAAAAAATCTATGGTTCTCGTGGGATAGGTTTGCTTTTGTCTAGGACGAAGCGAAACGAGGGTAAGTCGCTAGTAGCATATAAAACAACACTCGACTCGAGTGTTGTTTTATATGCTACTAGCGACTATTTGTTGTCTTTTTGTGTCCTTTCTTAAAATTAACCCAGCTTTTTTACATTTTTGCATATAATATTCTGGTGTGTGTGTGTGTGTTCATAATTCTTCTACTTTCTCCATCTTTATTCCTCCTAAACGGCTTGACCGATTTTGATGTTTTCATGTGTACTCATGGTATCATTTTGATAGTTCTTAGCTATTATTGGACCCGGTAGGTGGCGCTGTTATGGATATCCTGTTTTTTTTTAATTTCCAACCTATTAAGGTCTATGGCTGAATAACGTCTGCCTATCGGGTCCACTAGTAATTAAAACAATATTTGTTTTGCATACGATTTTTTTTGTGTTTATATTATAATATAATTAAATATTACTTTTTTTTATTCTACCTATGTATGTATGTTAAGGAAATAAAAGGCTATATTATTATTATTATACAATCTCTTTGCACTCGCTTGTTTGCTTGCATGTTTGTTGCCTGCAGGATAGCACAGCCCTCTACTATTGTGTCCAACGATTATTTACCGTGTAAGTGCTTTTTCATTGTTAACTAATTTGCTAAGCATTTTTTTTTCATTATAAATATTTATTGCATTGAGTGAAGGCACATTAATTATATATTTTGTAATAAATCTTTAGAATTACTCCATTTTACATATTATATAATTAAAAATTATATAATACTAGCAGAGCCCGCAGCTTCGCTAGCACACTAAAACTACAAAAGAAATCTCTAAAAATGTAGGTTTCATACAAACTTTCAACCCTTATTTTACCCCCTTATGGGATGAATTTTGAAAATCGCTATATAAATATGTAATTAATGCGTCGTCACTTGTATTACCTCGATCCACCTTTAATTATATTATGTATATATTTTTCTATTATAACTACTGCAATTATAATAGGGTTTTGTATGACTTATACAAATATACCTCAGCCAGAACAACACCTTATCTAATAATAAAATCATAGCATGTCTTAAAGTAATACTCTAATACTCTTTGCCTACTACTACGTTTCAATATATCTTACAATATTAAATGAGCAATTCTTGTATATTTATATTTTATATATAAATTTATTTCGTGTACATAGTAAACGGCTCGAACGATGTGGATCAAATTTTGTATTTAGATAAGGTTTTGATTTTTAAATCTTATCTATATATAGGTATCTCTTCTGAAAAAACGCAATTTTTGAACAAAAAATCATTTTCGTATAACTAACTAGTTATTAGAGCCTTTTTCTATCTGCTCTCATGCTGAAAATGTATAGCGCCATTTCGTAAGTGTTTGTAGTACTTGTATTGTCGCCAATGGATGATATGTCTAATGATGATGAAGCTCGATTTTCTGTTCCAGCGGTTCCCATTTTTTTTGGCTATGAAACCCTATTTGATAATATATTTTTAAGGATTCCCATTTTAATACTAACTAAACTAATTATGTTATAGTTAGAATAATTTCTTGTTTGACTTGAAAGAGCAAATCATAAATGAAAAATATTAATACTTATAATAATATTTATTATAGAATGTTTTTTCTTTCACATATTTATAATAGCACTAAAATTAGGTTTTGTGTCTGACAACATTTTATTTAACTCTCGAACGGAACACGGAACCCTTGTGACCTTTCTACGGAACTCTAGGGTTCCGCGGACCACCATTTGGGAACCGCTGTTTTATTCTGTTTTATCCCTAATATGAATTGAAGTTCATAATTATTATTATCATTACTAACTCTATTGGTTTTCATATAGCCTTCGAAGTGGATGATCACCGACATCCTCATGTGGATCCACGTTTGTATGAATTTGTACAATTTCCCGAACAAAACCCAAGGAGAAACTATTATCAAAATGAAGGTAGGACTTGACATGATTTTGTTAGCTTTATTTTGGTCTGATCAAATAATTTAATATAGAGTTAAACCTCGGAAAGGAATGTATGTTCTATAAGCTTATATAACTTTATGGCATTTTATATGTTGGCTCAAAAATCTCGTATAATCTCATGTCCGCGTTATGGGTGTTGAGGTCTTGAAAGTCGTTTTTTTTGTTAATAACTTGTTTCCTTTGTTCAATATGAGATTCATATTAAACGTTTTTGAGGTTTGAGACTTGAGACTTTAGGTAACGATTTAACATTTTCCTCCCACCGAGAAGAGACGAGCGATGCTTGCAATACTAAATTATTTTTAAAATAATTTAAAACATAATATTTTATATTATTTTTAAAATATTTATTGTTATAACTAAAGTATTTTTATAATTTATCTTCTAGATTTCAATACATCGACGTCGTCTTTGGAAACGTCACAAGATGTCAGCGCGGCGTCTATACCGGAGATGGTAGAAGATGCTTTAGAAATTATAAGCCAAGATGGAGTAAGTTAGGCTTTTTATTATTTTCATTGTTTTATAGTTTAAAAGGTTCGAAAATATTTCTATGGAAAACGGTTTTAGTTATTACCGCCATTTTGATTTTTTTAAATATGGTGCATGATGTAATTAGTATGTATGGATTATGGATAGAGAAAACTAACTTAAACACAAAATACGAACAATTAAGTGATTTGTGGTGTCACGTTTCCAAGATATTTTGAAGTATAGGTCGCTTCAATGAGGACTATGAAAACTATTAAATGAATATAACTAATGCATAATAACACGTAATAAGTTTATTTTTAAGGACTTTCATCATTTTTATTGTTAATGGCAACCTTTACCTTCAAACTTCTCGGAAACGTGACAATTTGAAGTACTATATTGCTCACACTTTTTATTTATTTACTTAATTGCCTTCTATAATATATACTTTCTTCATTGTGCGCCGCAAGTTTGGTAAAAAAAATGGCGAGAGATTGGCATTGCCTTAAAAATTCTATATCTTTATATATATAATTCTTCTGTGAGTGTGTATGTCACTGAACTTCTCTCAAACGACTGGACCGATTTTGATGAAATTTTTTGTGTGTGTTCAAGGGGATCTGGGAATGGTTTAGATTCACAATTTGAATAATAATTTTCATCAAAAAAAATATTAAAAAAAGTTTGAAATTTTCAAATTAAAGACGTGTAGACAGGACAACGTCTGTCGGGTCCGCTAGTATCATTTAAATTTTTATATGCTCAGTGTAACTGTCTATGCATGTCGTGATAAATTATGAATATATGATACAAGCGGCTCACACTCGCTTCGCTCGGGTGCTCTAGGTACGTTTTAATTGTTAGTATGGAATAGAAGGACTTAAAAGTAGCCTGTGTCACTCTCCAGTCCTCCAACTACCTTCACACAAAAAATCACGCCAATCCGTCTCTCTGTTTTGACGGAAAAGACAAACAAACATACACACTTTCACATTTATATTATTACCCTCGCTTCACTCGGGTTCGTTCCTAGGGTCGTCCCAATCTTTCATCCTCATTTTTACCCCCTTAAGGGTTGATTTCCGGGCTAAAAAGTATATTCTTACCAAATCTCATCTAAATAGGTTCAGTAGTTCCAGAGATTACTTCCTACAAACAAACTCACAAACTCTACCTTTTTATAATATTAGTATGAAGTATGGATGATATCTTCAAATACGATAACTGTTACATTTGGATCTCCTATGTACAATTATATATTTTTGTTAATTTACTGTACCATGTTGGTGATCCTAAATAAATAAATAAAAAAGAATTTTTTTTCAGGATTATATGGAATCAATAGCTATGGATATACAAGTTCAATGTATGTTATGCTCATGGGCGGGACCCAGAATGTTACTCGAGTATCATATTAGAAAAGTATGTATTTTTTTTTAATTTCATTGATAACTTTGTCTTTTAAATAGTATAAATATTGTGCTTATAGTTTAAATATATTTCTCTGTCACGTATGTAGTTGTAAAGTTACGTTCAGAAATAGAAGAATGCTTTAGGTCTTTGATTTGTATCGGCTGACACCGACTTGGAAAATATCTGATTAGGTATCTATAGTAAATGAAAACTACCAATCAGTTAGTTTTTACGCTTGCGCTAAAACTACAAAAAAATCTCTAAAAAGCTAGTTTTATACAAACTTTCATCCCGTATTTTACTCCCTCATAAGATGAATTTCGAAAATGCTAAATCATATATTTATTTAATTTTATTGAAAGCATTAATACCAAGTTTCAAGTAATTCCGATCATAAATATTTATTTTGTTTGTATTACAACGTGTGTTCCCGTGGCAATTTAAACTCCCGCGGTAAAAAGTAGCCTATATCGCTCTCCAGCCCTCCAACTATCTCCACACAAAAGTCACCCCAATCCGTCACTCCGTTTCGACGTGAAAGAAGGATAAACAAACAAACACACTTTCACATTTATAATATTAGTATATATATACAGATAATTCGTTAGCTCACTATTACAAGGTTCTATGTTACAATTTTAGTACTTATTGAGTTATTAATGCTACAAGATTCTATGTGTCATTAGCTACAGTTTTGCAAAAACAAACCACTAGATAGCGGCACTATAACTACAAAGTATTCAATTTTACATAGTTCTATGTTGTTTTTTTTTACGATAACAAAATAACGATGTTCTATGTAAAAATTACTAAACTTCATTAAAATTAACATAGAACCTTGTAATAGTAAGCCAACGAATTTATTATGTGTGTTGTGATGCACGCAGGAGCACGCGGGCGACATAGTGTGCGAGGAGTCCGCCCGCTGGCGCGTGGCGCTGGCGGCGGGCGGCGCGCGCGTGCTGCAGCACGACGCCGCGCTGTACGTGCTGCGCGCGCGCTCGCCCGCGCCCACGCACGTGCTGCTCTCGCTCACTGTTAGTATTCACTCCCTAACGTCCCACTGCTGGGCGTGGGCCTCCCACCTATACGAGGGGGACAGGCCATAGTCCACCACGCTGGCCAAGTTATGAAAAATGAAAAAAAAAGAATGCTAAAAGCCCAAAAATTAACAAAAAATATTTTAAATAAAAGTATCTTTTCGGATTTATTTTGATTTTTGGTTTCCGACGTTTTGAATGCTTTACAGCGGTCATGGTCACGGGAGAGACTTATCAAAAGTCAATATATACGAGTATAGTTGTAACAAACAGCACTTATCCAAAAATTACAAAATGGCATCAAAATACCTTATAATTTTTTTTTTATTAACATTTGATTTTTTTTTATTATCCTCAGGCCCTATCGACAACGAAAGAAATTGAAGAGGAACCAAAATTCGGTTCGATAACTGTATACAATCGCTTATCAGGCGAACCGTTCACTTGGTCTGGTCACATACAGCCTTACTTCCATTGCGATAGTGAAAATTGTCTGAAAGTAGAACTTTCTAGACTAAACTTATTACCCAATAGTGCTAACGTGAAGTTAGTAAATAGAGAACTTGTCAGTGAATCGCCAAATAGAGTTATCATTGGACAGTCCATGTTGAATGAGATATATTTGGTTTTGTATGTGAAGATTTTTAATTGATTTTTTATATAAATATATTTTTTTTATGAATGTGTCAGCTTGAAACTTTACGTATTCATGTTTTAATAATTTTTCAGTAATCATTTCATAAAATATAATAAAAATAAATTTAAATTGTCATTAAAAATTAAAATGGCGGATCTAAGATGCCAATTTGTGACAAGAAATGAAAGTCAAGCTTTCAGTTTTTTTTTATTTAATTTTTTACATTTTTTATTAACAAATTTCATTTCAATCATTTTTACCTATCTCATTACATCATATTTGGTATTCGAGCCTGACATATTTGTTTATTTTTTATATAAATAAATCATACAAATATTAAGGAAGTTATGTGCCATATCGAGTTGTTTAAAGATTTTTTTTTAATTTAGCCAACTTGAAAAAATAAAACTTTTATATATTATTATTATTTTTAAGTTGTTGATTTTGCCACCTTGTTGATTACTTGTTGTTGTATCGTAATTACTAATTTTTTAAGTTTTTTTTTATGAAAATATTTTTAGATATTAATCCAGTTCATATTGTTTACTTCGTATTATTTTATTATCAAACTTTATTACTTATTATATTCAGTATTCATATTAATATAGTAAAGTCAATGAAAGAAAAATCTAATCCAAATTTACTTTAGTTTTGAATTTTGGAGCCTTTTACTTTGAGATAGTGCAAACGTGGTCGAAGAGTTTTATTATAAAAAAATGTGGTGCGTATATTTTTATAGCGTTTGTAAATTTTATAAAAGAATGTGATTTTATTTTGTTATTTATTTTCAATTTCTCGTAAATAAGCCATTTTTGCTCTAATACTTTATACTACTCTTATCTTTAGACTTTTGAATATAATTAAAAGTTTTTTTATTTTTTTTTTGTGTGTGAAACAGTGTGATTCATTTTATATTAGCATATAAAAGAGAAAGCCATGTTTTTTATATTTCTTTTTTGATATGTTGCTTTTGTGTATACTTTTGTGTATACTTTCTTTTGTATGGTAATGTTATAGTTGATTTAAATAAAAATATGTAAATTTATTTTGTTTTTTCAATACTAATTGTGAAAATATTAACACATGTCGACAATTTCTATGAAAGTAAGTTATTTTTACCGCCATTTTTCATTTCATAAGATTTGTATTTATATTGTACCTACTTTTATTTTAATTTTTTTATTTACTTATGTGCATTTTTGATAAGGCTGAAAATTTAAATTATTTTTAATTCTCACTGACATTTAAACGTCTAAATATTGGTATTTTAACTGAAATATTTTTATTGATTAAATCATTAAAATTAATATTATAATTAATTATATTGACATTATTTATTTATTATTATTTATGCATATAAGCAATGGAAGTGCCTCGTCAAAAGATACCTAAAGACGGGCCCGGGCCGAGAGGCGTTCCGGATTGCTACTATGTAAGTATATAATTTCTTAGATTTATGCAAATCTTACTACTATATAAATGTGGAAGTTTGTGAGTATGTATGGATGTTTGTTACTCTTTTACGCTAGAACGACTGAACTGATCTGGATGATACTTGGCACAGAGATAGATTGATGTTCTCCTAGCCGATTCCGGCCACGGCGGCCAATCTCAATGAGATTAGCCAACTGCGCAGGAGATATTATAGTGCTCAAGTGTACGCGCAGACACAAGTGCACTCTCTATTCCTATCACTCTCATACTCCGGTGGGACGACCACTCGACACGACCGGTGAGAGTTAAGGCGCAGGACCGACGGCTTTACGTGCTCTCCGAGGCACGGGGGTGAAACACCGCCAACTTCCCAACTCCGGGCTGTTACTGAGACTTACTATACAGGAAGACTCAATAACTAAACTTGGCCCGACCCGGGACTCGAACCCAGGACCTCCGGGTGTGCAGCCGTACATGCTAGCCACTACACCACCGAGGCAGTTAGAGATAGATTATAGTCTGGAATAACACATAGGCTACTTTTTATCCCGGAAAAATATACCTTTCCCGAGGGATAGATTTGTTTTTGCATTTTGCCGCTAGTATTTGATATTTTAAATGAAACTATCTTTTCGAAGCATTACAGTATAGCATTCGAAAATCAAAACAAAATAAAACCGTTTTTGACTGCGGTTCTGCTTGGATGATGTGTGAGGTCCTCGGATGCTATAACTCTTATCAAAGATTAGCATGTCTTTCCATAGGGCATAGGTTCGATTTATGTATAGCGTCAAATGTCTTAACTAATGCTTATTAATTTACGCACAAGCGAATATTTGTTTTTTTTAGTTCTATGTTTTTGGACATTTTCGTGGTTTTATTTTAATTGTTTGCCGTAAAGCATTCAAAAATTTTAGGGAATCAAATTCAAACTACCAATAGATACTTGTTGTACTTTACAGTAGCGTTATATTTTCTCTAGGTATTTAAATAACAAAACTTTAATTATAAAATTTAAATACATTTGTATATACTTAGATAAAATAATTTTTTTTTGCCTTTTAATTAAAGTAAAATGTGTATTGCCAACCAATAGAATTGACATTTAAGTTAATAATTCTGTTATATTTCGTTAAAGATTGGTCGTTTGGACAAAATAAGGACAGACGACGATAGTACTAAAATACATACACATACATACACAAATAAACATATTTTCAGACATCTCGCGTTCTAAACTCAACGTTTCGTTACGAGAGATTTGTTCGCAAATTGCGTGCCGAAGAAGAAGAACAAAGGAAAGGCGTCGAAAATAAACTCAAAGAATTGAAGGATAAACAATATAGTGACTTCTTTATACGATGCGATAGACGGTAGATGTGTGAATATTTTACTTAACCAAGCAAATTAAAAATTTATGACGACACGTTTGGCTCAGTGTGTAGTGACCCTACTTGCTGTGTCAGCGGTCGCGGGTTCGAGCCCGCTGGGGGCATTCATTGTGTGATGAGCACGAATGTTTGTACTCCAGTCATGGGTGTTTATATTTATAATATGTATGTATTTAAAGTTTATATATGTGTAGTGTATCAACTATCTGGTATCTATAACACAAGCCTCGTAGCTTACCATGGAACTAGATGGTGCTGTGTGTTAATGTTCAAAAAAAAATTGATAATTGTAGCTATAATAGAATAAAAGGGGAATCAGGTGATAATTCAAATGTGGTATGTTTTAGAGGTTTTAGAGATAAACTTTTTCTTCGGTTGGAGACGTATTTAATAATCATAATATCTTAAGTATACTTACAATGAAACTTAGCTTAGTGGGTGGTCGACCATATATGGATGATATACGAATGCTTTACTAAGGTAGGGCTTACATAGGACTTAATTATATATTATATTATGCTATATTATACTATACTTAATGTATAAACATTTTACACTTCATAATCCATTACGCTGACAAAGTGCGGGTGTGCGGACTTCACATGTCTTTCGAAAACTTGCTAGGTTCTCTCAGACATGCAGGTTTCTTCACGATGTTTTCCCTCACCGTAACACAAGTGGTAATCTTGTTGGAAATTATTCGCACATGAAAATATCAGAATTGCGAGACCCGGGATTTGAACTAGCGTCTCTCGGTTTCTCAAGCAAGCTCGTTACCACTGAGCTACCACTGCTTACTCTCGTTTTGAAAGGAGGCTCTTGTCCAACAGTGGGACTATCACGTGTGATGATTTAAATATGACTACAACTTGCCTTATGGCAAAGGAAACATTGTGAATAAACCTACATGTCTTAGAAAAACTTATTACTTTTCGAAGGACCATGTAAAGTTTGCCATTTTTTTATCAATTATTTTGATGACTTCTTCGAATTATTTAATAGGTCACTTATAAACAACGTCGCGCGTCGAGTCGACTTGTGCATGGCGTCTTACCAAGAAGATTTGAAAGCAAAAAGAAAAAGGTAAATATGTATTTTTTTTTCAATTAACATACTTATTTCTGAATTAATATAAGTGATAAATAATTATTAATTAATATCTTAAAAAACCCTCTACGCCAATTAATTGTCATTGAACGATTACACTGGCACGCGTGAAGCACTTAATCGAGTCAATCGAGAATCGAGAGAGATCATACGACAAAATGCCTTACATCATTTTGGTAAATACTCAAAATAGCTGATACTCTTACAGTGCTGGACCCATTTTAACCAAACATAGCTAAGAACCACCGCAAGAAAACTGGCTTTCAAATGAAAAAAACCGCATCGAAATCGGTTCATCCGTTTAAGAGCTACGATGGCACAGACAGACACCAACGTCAAACTTATAACACCTCTCTTTTTATGTCGGGGTTAAAAACACTTCATTCAATTTACTGGTTTAAACACGAAAACTATGGACTGGACCATTTATGTAGCTAGAATTTGACGGGTAAGTTTATAGATACGGGACGTCAGTTTTTCTACGTGATATTGGCGAAGTAATCTGTTCTCAACTGTCATGTCTGTGTGTTTTAAAGCCATTATAAGAGTATTGAGTTAAGACGTTAGCTAAGAACGAATTTTGTTGAAAAAAATATATTGTAAGTTTATAATATAAGAGTCCTATTCCCTTACACACCAACTAGGCGAGCAATGCTAGTATTACTATAAAAAATGTCTAATGCTACAAATGATATTTTATACTGAAACTAGCATTGCCAGCGGCTCCGCTCGCGTTCAGATGACCAAAAACCAAATACTTAGGTTTTATATATTAGTATACTCTTACAATGCAGTTTTTGTATTTTTTCTCAGAAATAAGATATTTTCCCGCGGTAAAAAGTATCCTATATGTTTACCCGGATAATCAGCTATCACCATACTAAATTTCAGCAAAATCCCTCCAATGGTTTTTCTGTGATGCGGTAACAGACAGACAGACAAAAATTCTAAAAACTATAGATTCGGCCTCTGTATCGGTAATAAAGTCAATTTCAATAAAATTTTCCAAAAAATATTTAACAGATTCGGCTCAGTTACAATTTTATTATATGTCTATACTTTATACTATATACCTAATTTACTCCCAAATTAGACTAATAGACCTATACACTCACGAAGAAGAGGCGAATATACGCAAGTTTGTAGAGCAAGCCCAAGCCGGCGCGGATGCTGTGTGGCGCGACAAGATGGACCGCCTCCAGTATCTGCTCGCCAAGAGGAAGAGGGAACACGAGGAGAAGTATAAGGATACGCCTCTGTGAGTTTTGTATTGTGAAGGAATTTAGGATTTATGTGCATCTAAGGACTTAACCTCGCTCGTTTGAATTCCTAGGTACTTTACAGTTGCCTATGTGCTACTCCAGGTCATAGCCTATCTGTATACTAAGTTTCATCTAAATTCGTCCCGCCGTTACAACGTATAGGGTCAACAAACATAGACACGCGTACGAACGTTCACATTTACTATAGGAGTCTGAAGAGTGTTTATTGATCTATTAACTTGTCCTGTTTTCAGATTGACGCAATTTTTTGCATAGATACACTCTTAGGCAAAAAAAATCTACAAACTATTCTTTCCCCGTACCTACATCAAGTTTCTGAGGGCGATAGCATATTCCTAAATAATCATATCTAAAATTTATATATTGTGAAATTCCGTTCATAACTATTGAGTTGAATTAAAATTCTTCTATAAATGGGATGTGTTACAGAACAAAGACTTAAAAGGCAGTCGTCCATTGGCATAGCTAAAAAAATATATTTAAAATATAACCAAGATTTTAGTATTGCTTTTTCAAATGAAATAACAGATCAAAATGCGTCCACGTTCTTCCCTGTATATATAAGTTAAGAGCTAAAGAAGCCGCCGACATACAACTCTACCAAATAAAAGAGAAAGAAGCGAGGAAGATGGCGGAAATAGAGTTCGACAAGATGTGGCATGAAGTAGCCATGAAAGAGTCGGATGCTTTGGTAAGAATATATTTTGTACTAGCGACTTAACTCCGCTTCGTCCGGGTGCATAATTTTTAAGGGTTTTCGATTTTCGCACTGGAACTCTGAATATTTTCGGTATAAAAGCGGGTATGTGACCTTATAAACTCCTCTATCTTATAGAGAAAGTCCCATTACAATTGGCTTAGCCGTTCCAAAGATTGCCCCAGACAGACAGATTTAAAAAAAAAATTCAATTATATTTATATCTATAAAAACCATCATAAATTAATTATTGTTTGCTTAAATTTCAGGCAGCACGTATGGAACAAGATGTGATAGAACGTCTACGTAGAGATCTAGACTGCAAACAGTACACAGACTACCAGATAGAGCAAAGAAGAATACAGCGAGAGAAGGAGAAGGAGATGTTAAAAGAAGAAGCGAGAAGATTCAAAGCGTTGTGGGACGCTGATATACAGAAGGAAGAAGAAGGTGAGTGTTATAGTACTATTCTTTAATATTATCGTATTTTTTTTTTACTAATTAATTTCATTAGACGTTTATTTTTATTTTTTTTAATTTAGTCTAAAATGATACATTAAGTCAAGAATGCATCATCAATCAAATATGAAACGAAAATTAAAAATCGTAATGATGACGCAAAAGGAATCAAACTTTATAATTTACTTCAGTTTGTCAATAGTTAGGTTTAGGTTTCACAGGATTCATTTTTTTATCGCTTAGATCGTTTAAGCACTTAAGCTGTATTATATGTTTCTTTAATAAAAAAAAACAACAAGTACTACTAAAACTTCCTGCTATTTTCCGATTTTCAGACTAATAAATGTTTTAAAAACTCAATATTTTGGGTTTATCACATCCCAAACGTATCTAAACGCAGTAACGCCTGTACCTGCTTCCGTGATTGGTTTCCATCCTTAAAACTTGTCTTAATACAAGATATAAGCTATATCCATTACGGATTCTACCTCAAATATTTAGATAATATTTAAACAATCACAAACTTTGCGCTTATAATAATAGCGTTATTAAAATAAAACTAAAATCAAACCCCTTTCCAGCGGAACGTCAACGCGCGGAGCAACGTAAAGAAACAGCCCTGGAAAGAAAGCGAATGATAGAGCAAAGGCAACAAGTTCTGGCCAAGCAAAAACAAGAGGCCAAGTTGATATCTGACACGTGGGACTCCCTCGCCGGGCAGGGCTTGGCCGATGACTTGGCGAAAGAGCAGTTGAGGAGACGGAAAGAGGTAAATAGTTAAATAACAGTATATAAATCCATACTATATGAGATCGCCCGTTGGTGTTAATAAAACGCATTCTCGTAAAAGTCGAAAAATACTATTTTTCATGGTGAATCTCTCTCGTGTCTTCTCCATTTCACGTGACATTGGCGAAGTAATCTGTGCTCAACTGGTACGCCTTGAAGCCATTCACAAGAGAATTGAATTGATTTTAATTAAAACGCTGTGTGTTTAGTGCCACTTCGTGGCAAACTTAAATACGTCAATCCTAAAGCCGTTTCCCGACTGGATGGAATTTTTGTCTCTCTGTCTGTCAGTCTGTTTATGCCGGCTAATCTCCGAAACGGCTGGACCATTTTGACGGGACTTTCACTGGCAGATAGCTTATGTTCTAAGTAGTAACATAGGCTTCATTTATTTTAGAAAAAGAATGAAATTTTGCCTGTTTTCGGTTAAAAAAAAAACATACCTAGGGAGGCCCCCGAGCGAAACGAGGGTAATTCGCTAGTCCGTATTATCCGTATTAATATTATAAATGGGAAAGTTTGTGAGTATGTATGAATGTTTTTTACTCTTTTACGCAAGAACGGCTGAACGGAACTGGATGAAATTTGGCACAGAGATAGATTATAGCCTAGAATAACACATAGGCTAAAGAAAAATAAGAAAAATATACGATTTCTGTGGGATAGGTTTGTTTTTGTTTTCGTATTCGCTAGTATTAAATATTTATCAATTCCTTTACAGAGAGAACTGGACGAATGTAACAAACATTTGATCGAATTAAAGAAGCAGTATGCAGAATTTGAAAGAACGGTCGAAGCTCCGTTGGCAGAGGAAGCCCGCAAGAGGCAGGAGTATATAGATAACAGGAGATGCGAATATTTAGCTTGGGCTCAGAAAACTAATAGGGTTAGTGTTTAATGTTGTATTTTCTCTTTCTTTTCTCTCTCTATATTTATAATATGTATGTGTTTAAAGCTATATAGGCCTCATAGCTTACCATAGAACTAGATGGTGCTGTGTTAATGTACCAATATATTTATATTTATTTCTCTTTTCTTCCTCTTTTTCTATTTCTTTTTATGACTCCTTTCAGGAAGTGGATTTTTAAATTTGCGAAGTGTGTTGTGGATCAATTTAAATAATTATTTTCCTTAAAGTTTATATAATATAACATTTTTTTTTAAAGTTATTTTTATATTATAAAAATCTTACTAATAAACTTGGCAAAGAGATAGATTTTAATCTGGACTAGCACATAAGTTACTTTTAATCCCGGAAAAATGTACGGTTCCCGTGGGATAATTTGTTTTTGTTTTACACTAAGGACGAACCCGGGCGAAGCGAGATTCATTGGAACAAGATACTTTAAAAATAATAATATTTTTAATTTATAAAATAAATTACTTTCAGTTTTACAACAAATACGTTTACAATTTCATCAGATTCAGAAATATTCATTACCACATACAATTATTAATTGTTAAGAATAATAAATGATAATTTAATTCACAAGCCCCGGAAAGATTAATTTAACAATGGATGAAAGATGCGACCAGGATAACAATTAGTGATATGAACTAGTTTAGCTTTTCCTTTTAATATTTACTTCCTCGTGATTCATTACACGGTTGAGTTAAACTCTTTGTTATAACAGAGGTCGCGTGTTCGTTTATTATGTACAAGCGGCTCAACCTTGCTTCGTTCGGGTTCGCCTCTAGAAAAAACAAAAAAAAATCGATTCCTCGGAAACCGTATATATTTCCGGGATAAAAAGTTGCCTGTGTGTTATTCCAGACTATAATCTATCTCTGTGCTAAATATCATCCAGATCCGTTCGGCCGTTCTGGCGTGAAAGAGTAACAAACATCCATACATACTCACAAACTTTCACATTTATAAAATTTATACAGACTAGCGACTCTCCCTCGCTTCGCTCGGGCTCTTACCTAGTATATATTTTAATTTTTTTGAGCGGAACCCCAATTCTTTTTCTAAAATAAAAGTAGCATAAGTTACTTCCTATAACATCAGCTATCTTCCAGTGAAAGTCCCATCGAAGTCAGTCCAGCAGTTTTAGAGTTTATCCGGAACAAACAGAAACACAAAAATTTTAAAAATTGTATTTTTCTTATAAGTACCGTATATAATTTCATATGCATTTAGTAAAACGCTGTTATTTTGACATTACAAACAGACACTTCAATTTTATTTATCTGTATAGATTATTACCTAACCTGTTCATTTTCGATATTTTAGGAGGTCCGTCAAGCAATGGTGGACCAAATCAAAGAAAAACAACACTCCAAAGAGGTGCTCAAACAAAAAATAGCCGAACAGAACGAATACCATAAACAACTATTCGATCAACTGCAACAACTTGTGGACCAGAGACAGCTAACAGATGCACAGATAAGAAAAGATCATCAGAATAATTTGGTCCAGCAAATAGAATATAATAAGTTGTTGAAGGTAATACTTACTAATGTTACAAATGTGAATGTGCGTTTGTTGGTTTGTCCTTTTTTCACGTCGAAACAGAACGACGGATTGGCGTGGTTTTTTGTGTGGAAATATTTTTACCGCGGGAAATTGTCTCATTTTCACGGGAAAACACGTTATAATACAACCCACAACAACTCATCATATCTATGTATATATATATATATATATATATATATATATATATATATATATATATATAATTATAAGCATAATAGAATAAAATGGATGTTGCCAAGTTTTTGGCATCTAGGCAATAATAATAATGAATTTTTAACAGAAATTGAATATTTTTAGACTTAAACATTGACTTCAAATCCCTTTATAAGTTATTATTCCACCCTTAAAAATGGATATTTTCTGAAGTTTATATATCCTATTCTTAAGACCTATTTATTAAAAAAAAGATTCACGAATCAAATCAGTGGAGAATACTGCGCAAACCAAAAAAAAACTAACTTTCCCATGTATACGCGGATGATACACGGATGATACGTGAATGCTACGGTCACTATAACCGTTATATACGTTGATACAGTCTATTGGACATATTAGTCCGTGCCATTCCCGTTTCCGTGCCTGACACGTTCATAGCACGGTCATGCTATGAGACGGTGTAGCGGGCTGACACCTTCTGTCCGTATACCTTTTAAGTCAAAAGTAATAAATATTTATATACATATAATATATTTTAGGAGCGCGCGCGTCAAGAAGAGTTGGATCAAATAAAGAAATGTCAGATCGCTACTGAGGAATACCAGAAGGAGATAAACAGAATGCTTTGCAGGTACAAGATTTTTTTTATTACTAGCGACTAGACACGTTTTAATTTTCTGAATAGAACCCCTAATTGTTTATCTAAAATAAAAGTACCCTATGTTACTCCTTATACACCAGATATCTGCCTGCGAAAGTCCCGTCAAAATTAGTCCAGCCGTTTCGGAGATTAGCCGGAACAAAAACGGGCAGACAGAAATTTTAAAAATTGTATTTTTCTTATAAGTACTGTATATAATTTTATATGCATTTAGTAAACGGCTGTTATTTTGACATTACAAACAGACACTTCAATTTTATTTATCTGTATACGTAGATTAACTAATACCTTTATGAGACTCGTTTTTAACTACCTAATTTTAAAATTACTAACTGATCAAATTTCGATTGTAACTTTCTTTCAAATCTGGTATCAAGCTTAAACTTTAATAGTGGACTAGGAAGTGGATAGTGGAAGGATTAATAACAATAGATACTACTAAAACCTTCAGAGTTTGAGTTCAGTTGATAGAAATAGTTCTTTATTTAAATATAAAATAAATAGTGTGGAATCCTTACATTAAACATTTTTCGCAAAATCTTATTGAAATAGACATTATTATCGATACAGAGGCGGAATCTATAGTTTTTAGAATTTTTGTCTGTCTGTCTGTCTGTCTGGGAACGCATCACGAGAAAACCATTGGATAGATTTTGATGGAATTTGTTGAGATGATAGCTGGTTATCCGGGTCAACATATAGGATACTTTTTACTGCGGGAATCTCATCTCTGAGAAATCTATACTAAATGTTAAAATGTAACTCGAGACGAACCACCTGCAAGGAAAGACCTTGTAATTTGGTATTATAACAATTTTAACCTAAGTTGGATGTTTATTTTTATACTGTATATAATTTAATGGCCACGTTGTCCTACAATTTGTATGTTCGTCAAAGCGAATTTACTCGCGGGAATTAAGCTTAATAGGAATCATATTTAAAACTGGCTAAAGGACAAGTTACGAAACAAGAGGAGTTACAAGTTTTTTCTTTGCTTCGATATATATCGAAGTTGGTAAGTTATATGTTAATGACTACGACACAGTTTTAAGTAATGTTGTTATTATCAAACATACTTTTATAAATTGTAATCTTTAAAACGTGCCCAATAAAGATTTTTATTTATTATTTATCGTGGCTTTGCTCGCATAATAAGCGAAGCTTGATCAAGGGTAGCCTATGTCCGATCCCAGAATGAATCTATGTCCTAGCCAAATTTTATCGAAATCTGATCAGTGGTTTACGCGTCACAAGTTAAAGACAGTGTTACGTGAACACATTTATAATACATATTATATATAATTTGTCAATCCCGTTTCTTATTAATTAGGTATATACTATATTGCAATTTACTGTGTGAAATGTTTAAATAAAATATAATATTAAAAAAAAAATCATTAAAAATACTTTCTTTTTTTTAATTTTCAATTGTATAAGAAATTGGAGTAGGGTTTTAGATAAACCATTTCATGGGAGCATCGAACTGGCGTCCTTCCTTTACATACCGTATTGATTTTTATAAACAATGTACGTCATGGAGTATTGTTATATCAATAAGTAACAAATTAGTATTCTAAACGTACATTTAATATACCTCGAGTGACGCCTTCATAGTGCTCGTTGCATGTTATCTATTAGATTTAGAACTAATGTCACAAAAATATGTGTATGTATGTATATTGAAATACAGGTAATATTTGATTATTAGAATACGCTACTTACGATAAAATCTATAGAAATAAATAAAATTGTAGTGTCTGTTTGTAACGTCAAAATAACAGCTTCGTACTAAATGCATATGAAATAATATACGGTACTTAAAAGAAAAAATAATTCTTAAAAAATTTTGTCTGTCTATCTTTTCGTTCCGGCTAATCACCGAAACGGCTGGACCGATTTCGAAGGGACTTTCACTGGCAGATAAGGAGTAACTTACTACCTACTTTTGTTTTGGAAAAAGAATTAGAGTTCCGTGCAAACAAATTAAAACCCTTGAAATTGTGAGCAAAATCCGAAAAAAGGACGTGTGACATGAAAATAATATTTTATGACGTGACCAAGAACAAGGAACACTTAGTTTGAAGGGATATTTCCGCTTCAAAAGAAACAACTATGTTTAAAACGTGATTGAAATTTTAATTTTGTTTTCGTGTTCTTTATCACGTTCAACGAACACGTCATTTTGTTGGATAATAAACAAAATTTTCATTTCTTAACAACGGATAGTTATATGATATCTGTATTATTAGGATAAAATTGGAGATAGCTAATCTGTAAAATGTCTATTTCTTAAAAAATATATTGAATTATAATTGCTTTTAAAGTATTATGTTTTATTGGTAACTAGTGATTTACCCTTGCTTCGCTTGGGTGCATTCTTACGTGGTTTTTGATACAATAACAAATATTTATCTAAGTCCAGCCGTTCCAGCGTAACGGAGTAACAAAGAGACACACGCACAGACAAACTATTTTTCCCATTTATAACAGTAGTGTAACTAGGGAAGACCAAATATAGATCTCCCAAAATTCACGCAAGATTTAAATAAAACAGGAATCACGGTTTATTTTTCAGTTTGTTTTTTAAATTGAAACATTAAATAGATAGGCTAAGGTTTTATGAATGGAAAAACACATACGGCAAATGTACTACAGCCAATGTAATACGGCACTGTTTTGTTCAAATTTTCCATGATTTTGACAATGATTTCATCGTTTTGTACAAATGTGGACGAATACTATTAGTGCGGTGTTGAATCTCTTCCTTCATTGTAGGAGTGTATGTGGGCTTGTTAACAAAGACTTTAAAATTTAAATAACCCAATAGAAAAACTTTCAATTTTTATGAAATACTAGCATTGCCCCCGGCTCCGCCCGCGTTTTCATGACCAAAAACCAAATTCTTAGGTTTTACATATTAGTAGGTATACTCTTACATTACAGTTTTTGTATTTTTTCTCAGAAATAAGATATTTTCCAGCGGTAAAAAGTATCCTATATGTTGACCAGGATAACCAGCTATCATCATACCAAATTTCATCAAAATCCCTCCAGTGGTTTTTCACTGAAGCGGTAACAGACTGACAGACAGACAAAAATTCTAAAAACTATAGATTCGGCCTCGGTATCGATAATAATGTTTATTTCAATAAGATTATTCAACAATTGCGTTGTTTTTTTGTGAAGTGCTCCATTTTTACTTACCTTATACTCTCAGCTATCATACTCAAATCTTATTTTTCTTTCACAATTCTTTTTTCTTTGTTTCTAACACTTATGTTTTGCGTGAATTTTGGGACTTTTACTTTAGATCTGAGACTATTACTTCCTACGTCTTTACTATCTCTAGACAGACATCCATACTTATTATTAATATTATAAATGTGAAGGGGTGTTTATTTGTTTGTCCTTCTTTACCGTCGAAACAAAGGCTTGAGTGTGACATAGAATTTTTATCGTAGGAGATTCCGATAAAACGTACGAGGGTGAGTCGCTAGTGTGTATATTTATTGTTTAGTGTATGGTCTGGATAAACATGTCTCCTGAATTATATAAAATACGCAAAATGAATAGATTTACTATACAATTACCATACAGTTGTTATTTTAATTATTAGCTATTTAAATTTTTCAGACCCTTCTTTAGTGATGAAGTCCACCCATTCATGAAGCAAATGGCGAAAGGATTGTCGATGAAAGAAAAATGTCCGTGTTCTCGGCCTGATTATTGCAAATAAAATAAATATGATTTTAATATTATTTACTAATTTATCGTGTGGATCAATAAATTTCTAAATTATTTTGTACTTTTTTTCACTAATTTTTTTTTAATGTTGAGAAATGTATTTACGCGTAACACCTGTAGACAAACAGGTGGTTGTGTGGGATTCGCCGGCTAAAAAAACCAGTACTACCCACTAAAACCCAACGGAACCTCCCCCGTGTTAATGGGGCGTCGCAGAATGGCATTCCGCACTCAACCACTCGGCCCGACGGCAGGCTGCCGAAGCAGACCACAACAACCATGGGGTTGCGCCAAGGTCCACTCTGCTATCAGAGTAGTACCAGGAGCAACCCGCACATTGGGGGAGATATATGTATATATTATGTAACCCCTAAACTTAGATGGTATTTAGCCCTTTCTAACGTTCCTCTGCTAGGCGTGGGCCTCCCTTCAGTTCGAGGAGGATCCGGCTATAGTCCACCACGCTGGCCAAGTGCGGGTTGGCGGACTTCACATGTCTTTTGAAAACTTGCTAGGTTCTCTCAAACATGCAGGTTTCCTCACGATTTTTTCCTTCACCGCAAGGCAAGTGGTAATCATGTTAGAAATGATTCGCATATGAAAATATCAGATGCGACACCCGGGATTTGAACCTTCTTCAATCGGTTTCCCAAGTGCGCGCGTAACCACTGGGCTACCACTGCTTTAAATAAATAAACTTAGATTATTATGATTTATCTTGAAGTTTATACCAATGGAGGTTTTACAATAAAATTATTCGAGCAAACCCACAATAGTATATTTAGTTAATAAAAAAAACCTATAATAATAACGTAATCCTCAAATCTAGTTATCCTTGACATTGTTATCTATCTTTCGGAGTATCTCTCGGAACTAGACGTACTCGTATGTACTTGTCCACTAATATGTATGCGTTCCACGACGTGAATAAGATGTACATGTCGATAAATGAACGTCTTGATAAACTTTGTACACTTAAAAGCATTATACAACGGAAGTTAAAATGTTAGGAAATATTATAATGTAATAGTAATTTATTAGTAAAGTAGCAAACCTAAAGTATAGGACGTTCAAATGGGTATCGATGGGTATGGATTCACTCACTATTGCTTCTTTTGTTTTTTTTTGTAAAAGAACTACAGTCTTTATTTTTATGAAAAAAATATTCCTTTCTGATTGTTGAATATTTTTTTATAAAAGAAAAAATATAAAAGATATCAAGAAAATAAAAAAATATCTAAGGAAAAATTACTTCCGTTTGTCTTAAATATCATTAAAAGAGAATTTTCATCTTTTTTTATCTGTTGTAGCTTATCTACCCATAAGCTTATCTTATTATCGAGTTAAAGTACGTAAGTTGAGGCTTTGCCCTAAATTAGAATTATTTTTTAAAGCAACAAACATGAAACAAACTCCAAATTCCATTTAAAATATCATTTCAAATATCATTTTTTATCATTTTTTAACTTATTTTATCAGTAGATTGGAATGTGTACTTTCTATCAATTAAATACCCAATGACCATATTTTTAAGTAAAAGGATTATCTTTTATAGCGATATGAATTCTTTATCCTATAGTCTCTAATTAAGTCTAAGTCTAAATGGAGAATATATTGAAATATAATATTTAAAGACGTCGATACATATTCTCCTCTTCCTAAAATGAGAATCTGCCATAAATGGAGAATTAATAAATATCGAAAAAATAGTAAAAGATAGTACCTACATATTTATTATTATTTCCAACATTCAAGACTAATAGAAATATATTGGACTTACACATTAATAATAAATAATGATCACAAATTAATTGTTTGTTCATTTCTCATCCATTTTATTACAAAAATTCTCACTGTCTGCGCTATTGTTTAACGTACAGGAAGCTTCAAATCCCAAAGATTGTTTCTTAATGCATTTTTTATACAAATAATATAATTACAATTGTTTCGAAATAATAAGCCACGAGAACCGTAGGCGAATAACAGTGTCTTCCGTTTAGTCTGTCAATGACTGTACATTCGGTTGAACATTTTCCTCTAGGAAGAACTTAATTTATGCCAATAAAAATATAACTTACTTATTACAAAGGCAACGTGTAACGTCGTGATTTCATTCTAGATTTTTCCTTAAACAATTCAAACTATATAAGGATTCTATTTCCGTCGTCTTAGCACAGTCACATCGTGGCATTTGAACATGGATACAAAACTAGTTGTTTTGTGTACTCTAGTGTGTACGGTGGTAGGCAGCGATGTATCAGTTGGAAAGAGTACGGGAAGAAAGATCTTCGATGAGGTCAGACAAGCGAACCCTGCAATTTGGAGACAGATAGAAAATGTTACAATTATAGCACCCAGTGATGAAGTCATTAGCGGGGTGGTCGTCACAGACATGCGGCCAGAAAAGGATGGGGATGCACAAATTGTGGACGGAGGTAAAGGAAAAGATAGTGTTACTATAGAGCTCAAGAGCCCTACTGTTTTACGCGGCTACGAGTTTCATTTGGAAGTGTATACCGAATCGAACACCAAATATACGGATGCTGAAGAAAATTTGCCGGTTCCTGATGATACCTCAAACAAGGATTTACCTGAAATGAATGAATCAACAACTGTGAGTGAAGGTAGTGGTAGTGGTGATCATGTGAGTGTATCTATGTCTAATGAAAACGTAACGACTGAACTTCCTGAAAATTCTGACAAAGATGCGCCTAGTTTAGTTGGCAAAGATACAGATGGAAATGTTAGGCCAGCTCGTGGAATAGATTTTGAAAACATTTCCCAAACATCAGGAACCATGGACGTAGATAATGTACCTGTAAGTACCACAGATATGCCTACAGAAAACTTAACGACCGAACTTTCTGAAAACACCGATAAAGATGCTCCTGCATTTATAGGACAAGATTTAAATGAAAGCGTTAGACCAGCGCGTGAAACAAACGAAGATAGTATTCCTGGAACAACTGAAACCGCAAACACAGATAATGTAACTGAAAGATCAGAAGGTAACGCAACAACTGGACTGCCAAACAATTCTGACAAAGATGCTCCAAGTTCAATTGGAAAAGACTTAAATGAGAACATAAGACCTGCGCGTAGAACAGATGATGAAGATATTTCTCAAACATCCGACGCCGCTGACACAGCTAACATTCCTTCTATCATTGCAAGCGAAGCAAGCACCACTGAAGATCCAAAAATCGATCAAGATCAGACCACAACGGAGGTAAATGAGAAGACAACAATCGAAGAAGAAGTTACCCCCGCGCCTGTGATATTTGACAATGCCAAAAACATCCCTGACTATCCATCCTTAGATATTTTAGATCTAATAAAAGCAAAGGAAGGCACTCGACTTATTCGTCACACTGAAGAAAACGAAGTAACTACAGAAAGTGAAAATATTGAGCAAAGTACAACAGAATCAAATGAAAAGAGCGAAAGCTATGACGTATCTTCAGAACCTAGTGAGAAAACCAATGACGATGATATTGTGGACTTGATGCCCCCTGAAATAGGCGCATCGTACAATACTGATTTTTCAGATAATGCTTCATCTAATCCCAGATCTGGTCGTGGCGTTTCTATTGTCGATATTGCTAACGATTCTACAACAACAGAAGCTACTACGGTTAATGATAAAGAAGAAAAGGAAACAGAGTTTAGTACTACAGAAGCTCTAATGACAGAGCAACCGAGAAATACTAGAAATGCTGGCGTAGAAGATACAGATGTCGATTCTAATAACGTAGACATTCCTAAAGAACCCCAAGAGCAGCCATCATGGGGATCAAGACTTGGTAACAGCAATGTGATTGTGTTAAACAGAGAGCTATTCTCGCCAGACAGTTCACAAACACGATACGAAATACCTATCGTCCTAATCTTAGCCAATGGAGCTAACTTACCCACAATTAAAATAATTGTCGAAAATTCAAATTTTGAACAGGAGAAACCTGATGTAAACATACAATCAGAAAGTCCGACAGTTGAAAATCTTGCAAGTAATGACGAAATTCCGAAAAATGTTGACGAGACCGACTTTATGCCACCTAATGACGAATATGCATCGAATCCCGTTATGATACTTGAAAAATAATTTTACTCATCTATTATTTATTTGGTAACTTATTTTACATTAATAGTAAGTAATAAAACAAATGTTATTTATAGTATCCCTTTTAATAACATAAAATATAACAAATGTACCTGTGCATTGTTTTGTTCTGAATAAAATACATAATATGGAAAGCATTTATTTATGTATTTTTTTTTATTGAGCATTAACTTTAATTATTTTTACAAAAACATTCTTACTCTAGTTTAATTTACATCAAAAATTATGTATTTGGTCTTTTTCATTACTCTAAAAAGGTAATGTATAATCATTAAAAAATAATGCTATTATCATTATGAAAAAAATATAGCAAAAAAAATCCAATAAAAAATACAAAATTGAAGCAAAGAAATATCAACGTACACAAATATTCATTGATTCAGCGTTTTTTCTTTTAAATATTAATTTCGTTGTCAATGTCTATCGTTGTAAAGTTCTTTTATTTTTGATTATCAAGTAAGTATTATACAAAATTAAACAGACTCCAAAAAATACCAAAAAGTAAAGAATTAATGAACGGGGGTTTTCATTTATTATATATATAGGTACCTAATAAGATATTTTCGAAGTCGATTTTTAATTCGTAATTTTTAGTTTTAAGTAAAAACTGAAATAGTCTTTTGTACCTAATAAGTAGTAATTACAAAAACTATTACAGATTTAGTTACACGTTTTAGTCCATATCATAAAAATTACTGAACCGATTTTGATAAAATCTTTACTATTCCCTAAGTTGAAATAAATGTAAACAAATAAGAAAAGAATGATCACGATCCTATAAATAATTTCGGAGGAGAAATGCGTAAACAAACAGATATACATACAAACATACACCTATAAAATATTGTGTATTTATTTGGAAGCCCTAATAGATTATCATATGTGAATATTTTGCAGTTCCAATAATATTACATAAGTGTCGAATTAATACCTTCTTTTTTTGAAGTCGGTTATAAGGTACATCTATATATTTTGTAATCAGTTATTTTTTAGACCAATATTTCATTTTATTCAGTTGCAGATTTCTTTAAAACAATCTTAGCAATTATAGTGAATCAATTTACTTTGCAGCAAATAGCAGTACCTATTGTTCAATGTCACTTTTTATTTATGCAAATAAATTTACAATTTTAAGTGCATCTAATCAATATCTGACATCATCAACACTAGGGCTTTACAAGTTAAGAAAAAATAGCAATAATTAATTTCATAGATAATTGATAATGGAATGATTATGATGTTAACAATAAAGCTCTGTTGAAAATCTAGACATTATACATTTATATTATGAGAAATATAAAAAGAAAAAAATATATACTTAAACAAAAAAAATGTTTTTTTTTCGTAATGGCTTAGAATTACAACTCTATACCTTTACATATTTTATATTGAGAGTTAATGATAACTATTATAAAAAAATAAAATTTTAAAACAATTATTCTATTGTTGAAAAAAAAAACATATTTAATTGAATATGAACTTATATACAAATATTTTAACTTGAAATTATACTGAACATAAAAATAAATTGTTACCATATTTAATAGTAGGAGATCCCGATCTATGTGGTGGACCCCTCATTCTTTTTCCAAGCGAAATATATTTTTTAAACAACAAAACATTAATAAAACAAACATACATACATACACCTATAATTTTTTGTATATTTGGAAGCCCTAAGAGTTTATCATATGAGAATATTTTGCAATTCTAATTATATCACTATAGTATTATATGATCTGTGATATAACATACATAAGTGTCGAATTGATAACCTCCTTTTTTGAAGTCGGTTTAAAGGCCGCCAATTATAGTAAGATGACATTTTCTATAAGTCTTTTACATTCATTTTATACTAAGTTCTTACAGGAAAAGAGTTTTAAATAAAAAGTATTATAGGAAAAGAGTTCTTTTACTTTAACAAATAAAGTAAATTAATTTTTTTAATTAAAAATAGCCTCAAGCAAATTTATGGTGACTTAAGTCGTGTTTGTTAATATGTTTTATGTTTTAAAAAATATATTTCGTCTGGAAAAAGAGTGAGGGGTCCGCCGTATAGGTCGAGATCTTAGACTATAATATTTGACTTTTAAATGTCAATATTTCTATAAATTATATATTTTACTTTACGTTGTATATTAGTGAATTAATTAATTTATACGTAAAAAATGGCCGACAGGCAGCTTTCCTGGGGATGTTGCAACGCAGATATAAATGAAGATGATTATATTCAATGTTCAAAATGTTGTAACGTATATCACTATGGCTGCTTGGGCATCAACTCAAACACAAGAATACAAAAAAACTGGAACTGTTTGAAGTGTAGTAAATCCAAGAAATGTAATAATGATGAAACGCCTATACGTTCAAGCACTAATAATCGGTCCAATACAAACGTCAACGATTCCAACGTCACTAAAAGATCATATAAAAGACAGGCCTTGAGTTCCCCAACATCACCTAGCTCATCTACGACCATTACGTTAGATCAAGTACGTTCTATTGTCAACGAAGTCTTTGAAAAGGAAATGTCGAGTTTATTAGACAATATCAACAAAACTATAACTTCTACCGTCAGCTCTTACTTAAAAAGTATTGACAGCAAAATTGAGGACCTACAGCACTCGATCTCATTTATGAGCGCCCAATATGATGACATGAAGAAGCAAATTGACACGTATTCTGACATAATTAATAAACAGAAACAGGACAATGAATCCCTTCAGAGCACCGTAGCGAGTCTTACTAACAAAGTGAATCTAATGGAACAACAAGCCCGGTCTAATAACATCGAGATTCAGTGTGTCCCCGAATCAAAAATGAAAATTTAATCTCCATTGTAAAACAATTGTCAATGACCGTCGGGTATGATATAGGTGATAGCAGTATTTCTCATTGTACCCGTATTGCTAAAATTAATACGAAATCTACGCGACCAAGATCTATAGTAGTTCAACTTAGCACACCTTTAATACGTGATCATCTTTTAGCAGCTGTAATAAAATTCAATAAAAATAATTCTTTTGATAAATTAAACACTTCCCACCTCGGTATTGGTGGAAGTAAGTCACCTATTTACGTCTGTGAACATCTATCATCTACGAACAAACTACTTCATGCGGCTGCGCGACGTAAAGCTAAGGAGTTGAATTACAAGCATGTTTGGGTACGCAATGGAAGGATATTTATGAGAAAAACGGATGACTCCGACTATAAAGTGATTATGAGTATGGATTATTTAAGCAAACTAATTTAACGTTTTTGTTTTAAAATGAATGAAATTATGTTTAACATTGTATAATTCGATAAGTTAAATATTTATTATCAAAATGTAAAAGGCTTACGAACCAAAACGCATGACTTATCTAGAAATATTTGTTGTAATAACTATGACCTTATCATACTTACGGAAACCTGGCTATGTAGTGGTATTTATAATTCAGAAATATTTGGCGATAACTACAATGTTTATAGAAGAGACCGAGATTTAACGAGCTCTGTAAAAAAGGACGGTGGAGGGGTATTAGTTGCAGTTTCCAATAAATTGAGTTCAAAACGAATGATAAACTGGGAAAGTAGTTGTGAAGACTTGTGGATCATCTTAGAATTAAATAGAAATGAAAAAATTGCAATTTGTGCAGCCTATATTCCTCCACCAGTCAATAAAATGTTACTCAGTAATTTTATAGATAATTTTAACCGTATTGTTGAAACAAAAAGTTTAAGCACACTCATTGTCGGTGACTTCAACTTAAGTTGTATAGACTGGGACTTGGTTAATGATCTCTGTAACGGATTCCGTATGTCCAACGTGGCTAAAACGTTGATTGATTTTTGCTGTGTTAACAATTTCACTCAAATTAACCGCATCAAAAATAATCAAAATAAAATTTTAGACCTTGTATTCTTTAATAATGATCAACCACAAATATTAGTTGATTCCTCAACAACCGCGCTAAGCCGTATTGATCCACTACATCCACCATTACTAATAAATATGAGTGTCAAAAAAAGTTCTACCCCAATTTTAAATAAGAAAGATTCAGGTGTCAAATACAGTTACGAAAAAGCGAATTTCAAATTAATTAACGATTACCTTTCTCATGTAAACTGGAATATCAAGCTTTCGGAGTGCAAGGATACTAATGAGATGGTAGATGTTTTGTATGACGTGATTTATAAGTCGATAGACCTTTATATTCCAAAAATACCAATTGCGCGTAATTCTAAGTGTCCTCCGTGGTTTAACAAAACTCTGATTAAACGTATCAGGGAAAAAGAAACCGTTAGAGTAAGATACAAAAAATACAAAAATCCAATGGATGAGGTAGTATTATCGTTGCTAGAGAAAAGATGTGACAAGCTATCGTTGCAATGTTATAATACATACATTCAGTTTGCTGAGGATAAGATAACTTCGAATTCTAAGTTTTTGGACATTCATGAAACGCAAAAAACAAAGCAGTGCCAATTCGTATCCATCTAAAATGAATAGTGATAACGAAAGTGCTTCTGATGGGGAAAGTATTTGTAATTTATTTGCGTCAAATTTTTCGTCCATCTATATGCAGAATAGCGATTCGCGTTACGATTATGGTAGTATTCTAGATAATATAACTTTTGATGAATTCGATAGTCGTAGCTTATCATGTATACAAATTGACCGTGATGAGATAATTAAAAAATTGAAAAATATCAATCGTTACAAAGGAGCCGGGCCTGACAACATATCGCCTATTTACTTAATAAATTGTGCTGAAGAACTTGCACAACCATTAAAAATAATTTTTAACAACTCCCTTAAATTTGGAGTATTTCCTACTAAGTGGAAGGTTGCAAAGGTCGTTCCCGTGTTCAAAAGTGGAGATAAAAATAGTGTTAAAAACTACAGACCTATATCCATACTTTCTTTGTTTGGCAAAATTCTTGAGTCTCTTGTCTACTTGAGAGTTTATAGTCATTTCAAACACTTCTTTAGCGTTCACCAACATGGTTTTATTACTGGTAGGTCAACATGTACGAACTTGGTTCACTTCTCTGAACTGTTAATAGATGCAATAGACAATAGGGATAGAGTTGATGTCATTTACACTGATTTGAGTAAAGCCTTTGACCTAGTACCTATTTCTATACTACTCTACAAACTATCCGTTTATGGCGTTGTTAATTCCATGCTGAATTGGCTGAAATCGTACCTAACTGGCAGACATTTCTACGTCGTGGCTAATGGGTTCGAATCTATAAAATGCAGCATTACTTCTGGAGTACCCCAAGGATCGCATTTAGGTCCTCTCCTGTTTAATATCTTTATAAACGACTTGCCAAATTGCTTCTCTTGCTCCACGCCATTTATGTTTGCAGATGACCTCAAACTTCTTAAAACTATCAATAATCCTAATGATATTAATTCACTACAGAAGGATTTGACTAGCTTGCATAATTGGTGTAAGCTAAATGGTATGATATTGAACTCAAGTAAGTGTTTCCACATAACCTTTACGAAGAAAAAAACAAATATAAGTACTAAATATTATTTGAATGACATGCCTTTGAGTACAGTAGATATTATCAGAGATTTAGGTATTCTATTTGACAAAAAACTTACTTTTGTACCACATATAGATAGTATTGTCAGTAAGGCAAGTAAAATGTTAGGGTTCGTAATCAGAAATTGTAAGGTATTTAAAAATATTCGAACAAAAATTACTCTATATAAAAGCTTAGTTTTGAGTATTTTGGAGTATGGAAGTGTTGTCTGGAGACCCCATTATGCTACCCACTGTTTGAGAATTGAAAGGCTCCAAAAGCGTTTTTTATATCATCTGGCTTTCTCACTGGGCAAATCTAGATCACTTGCAACTTATACAGAAAGGCTTACGTATTTTAAGATGTTTAGTCTAGAAAAAAGAAGAGATATATTGGATTTAAGTTTCTTATATAAAACTATTAACAGTATATATGACAATCCATCACTAATATCATCTTTTAATCTAAAAGTGCCTAGGTGTCCACGAAAGCCGATCAGCATTCTCGTAGCACCTTCTCGCAGATCTGTTTTAGGTAATCACTCTCCCTTGTCACGTTTTTGTAATATTATAAATAATCATAGCACCTTGGATCCATTCGGAGACACGCTGCCTATGTTCCAAAAAAAAGTAAAAAAATACCTATAATTTATTTTGTGGTTCTTCCTGGTTTTTTTTTTTTTTTAATTCGAATTGTAATCTTTTTCCATTTTTGTGTGTTATTTAATTGTTTGAGTGTATTTTATTATTTATTTAATTTAATATTTTATAATAGTAATTTTAGTACTGTAAAATAGATATAATATTAACATTTTATAAAATCTCAAAATTTGCATGTGGTATTCACCTTAAAAGGTAGTGCAATTAGCTATAAAAACTTAAAATAATTGTACTTGTATAAAATAAATTGTATTATTGTAACTAACCACTGGTGAATCTAATAAATAAATAAATAAATAAATAAATAAATATCTATTATACCTCAACATTCAACACTGACATCACGATAAATGCACTCGGAATTTATAATCGATTGGTTTTTTTTTAATTCATTACAACTAATTTGTATGAATATCTTGTATTTTACAATCAATGTCTTATGTCAGTAATATATATTATAAAGAAATGAAGTTTGCGACTTTATATGCAAGAGCAAATCTCCAGAACTACTTAACTGATTTTGAAATATTATTTTAATATTTAAATAAACTTATCGACAAGTGACTACTACGAGATAGTTTTTTAACTACATATTTCAAAAAGCAGAGACTCTTTCTTTAAATATTATTATAATCGGGTTTCTTTGTTTGTAATTTGTATGTTACCTATTCATTTTTTATATAATGCTATATGTTGGCATGTAATGCAATATTCGTTTTTAAGATATTAGACAAAACAATAATCAAATATATATGTATATATAGAATATATAGTTATGAATATATTTTACAGTATTTATCATGTCCGCCAACCCGCACTTGGCCAGCGTGGTGGACTTTGACCTGATCCCCCTCGTATTGAAGGGAGGCCCGTGCCCAGCAGTGGGACGTTAAAAAGGGCTGAATACATATTTAATGATACGAGGTAATAAACCCAGAGTTTAATACCCTTCTTATAAACCTAGGCAGTTAGGCTCATCATATTTATGATCCAAAACAAAAGTTAAACTATTTTAACCGCAAACGTTATACCACAAACGAGATGTCAAATGTTTATGATGTGAAAATTATGATATGCATAAAAAAATTACTTTAAAAATACTTAGTGTACTCATATTAAAAAAAAACGTCCACGTGCGAGTATATAGCGGCAACAGAAATACATCATCTGTGAAAATTTCTCTAACTGTCACGGTTCATGAGATACTACCTGGTGACAGACAGACGGACGGACAGCGGTCTTAGTAATAGGGTCCCGTTTTACCCTTTGGGTACGGAACCCTAACAACAATTTTATCTTGATGTTGACATTATTCAAAAATGATTCCAATAAATTCAGGTGTTTGCCACTAATTGGCGTAAAAGTCTAGATGCGCTGTCCCTATTCAGATAATGCTTTTGATTCATCATTATTCTTAACAGAGAAATCTATCTGTAAATAAGTACAAATAATGAAATACTACAAAACAACTTTCAAACTTTATATAGTTAAAATTTGTATTATATTTCTTGACCGAGATTCAAGATATAGCAACTATGCATGTTAAGGTATAAATTTGGATAACCCAAAAACAAATAATACAATATATATTTTTTTTGAAGTAAAACTTCTTTATGGAGTGTTGCGGAAGTGAGAGTAAAATTTATTATTAATAATTCAAAAAAATATACTTATAATTTATATTTTAATAATAATAATTATGTATAACAATATTTATGTATCTATTTTTAATAATTTTATAAAAATTATTATAATTATATTTTGATTAATTTTAATATAATTGCTGTTTCTGCCGCAGCGCCAAAAAAGTTTTACTTCACGCGTAAAGGCTACACACGCAGTCATTTTTTTACTACAAATTAGTCTGTTAAGCCCTCCACGACCGCAGACACGCCGGCGCGTCGTTACAGTTAATAATAGATTTCTTAGAAATTTTATAAATTTCTTAGAAATGTACCTGGAGGTGTTAAGCGAATTTATTATACTTAAATTATTAAATACAATATTATCATATATAGAGGCCCATTGGTGTAAAATATAAATAAATATATCTAAAAATGGAGCTCTACGTGAGCAACAAGATATTTACAATATTATTTATTAGTTAATTTTTTCACAGATTTTATACATGTATGTTTAATTTTGTTCATTATCCCTTGTTGTGATTCCTGCTTTATATGAAATTGCTCAATCAAAATGATAAAAAATATAAACAAAAATATCAGCAATATTACATTCTAAAACATCACATATTTGGGATATTTTTAAATATTCAGTGTTTCACTGTAACACTGTTCAGTATGTACTATATATAATAATATAAAGTAAATATTATTTAATTACATTCGAAAACATGTTTCCATTATTTTCAATTATTGTTATGTGATCCATACCCCAAAATATCTGAAGATTGAACATTTACGGGTACTAAATATTCTTTATTATGTCAAATGTTAAAATTAAACATAAAATTTAAATGAATCGAAATGCCCCGCCATATAAGGCAAGTTGCCTTTTACTCCTATTATGCAATTTTTGTTAAAATATCAAGATAAGTACATATTTATTGCTATGTTGGATTTGATAAGATTATTACCTATCTATTTTTTTTAGGGAAGACAAAGTTTTTGTTACCCATGTTTCTTTTTAACATGTACAATATTTAACAAAGACATTGTTTATAATATACTAATGACTTACCCTCACTTTGCTCGGGTGCGTCCCTAGGTATGTATTGATATACATAAAAATAGTTATTGGGAATGTACCTTAGGAGATAGACACATGTAATCGTGGACTTTTTTGTAGGCCTTTTTATGACCTACAATTTTCTAGTACATTATTTTCATTTATCTCTAAAGGTTTAGCCAGCATTAGCCATGTATTCATATGAAAACAGTTTTTTTTGTCAAACCATAGCCTAGACCAAAAATCTATTGTATGATTTAGAAGAAGTAAGCAGAAAAACAGACAGATGCTGACAGCTACTTTGTTTTATACAACATTATGTATAGATAGATATAAGAAAAAAGTTTTACAATTTGTCAATTGAAATTAAAATTATATATTATATATATACTTATAATAATAATGCATATATTGTGCTACTTTAAAATAACTGACGAGTGAATACATTTTAGAATATTTTAACAAATATAAAAAATAAACTATTAATATTTTAACAAGGAATGTAAAACAACACCTTCTGGAATCTTCTTTTTACCATTCAAACCCTCTAACTCAATAACAACAAGACAGCCAATAACATTTACTTGACAGCTTTGAAGTAATTTAGTAGCTGCAGCAATTGATCCTCCCGTTGCTATTAAATCATCAACAATTAAGCATTTCAAATTTGGTTTTACAGAACTTTTCTGGATTTCTAATACATCCTGAAAATAGAAAATGTTAAAAATAAGTTTTACTTGTATATACACAATGTACCTATACCTATAACAATGGCACACAGAGTACTTTTAAATTCTACTTTTCAATTAACATAACCCAACAATTATATGATTATAAGTAAGTAAAGCATGTCATACATAATATATGAATATTATAGTGTACATGAACATTTAATTTACGTAATATATATATTAAAACTGAAAAGAATATAAAATGTATATTGTATACTCACTGAACCATATTCTAAATCATAATTGTATGACATGACTTCCCCTGGTAATTTTCCTTTTTTTCTTAAAACTAGGCATCCAATACCTAATTCAGCTGCAAGGGAAAATGCAAAGAGAAATCCTCTTGATTCTAGGCCAACTATTGCATCAACATCTGGATATTTGGTTTTAATAACTTTTACAAGTATTTCTTGTAATAATTTACATGTGGCACCATCTGACAAAGCTGAGAAAATGTCCCTAGAAAAAAAAATCAAGTAATTTCACTTATTTTAATATTCATCTCGTATATAAATATAAAATATTGTACAAAATAAAGTTATAGAAGTCTCGTTTTCAAATCATAAACAAGTGAAATATTGAGGTTATCTCTATTTTTTTAATAATTAAAGAACGTTGTATTAAAGAAAACTTAATGAAATAGGCACTTTAATTTTAAGTTGATCGATAGTTAATAAAACAAATTTTACCAGAATAAGATTCCTTTTTTAGGAAAATCGGGAAAACTTTTTATTTTAGACTTAAGTTGAGCAAGTTTATTTTCCATATCTGAATCCATAATGCAATTTGAAATTACTAATATCAAAAATAAAGCACCACAATAAACGCTTTTAAGCTGAAACCCAATTATTCAACTAATGCTCTTATCATAATTATAAATATTCTAATAAAGTTTTATCTTGAAATTTGTTGGTTATGTTCATAGGTTATGTTTTCATGAAATGACAGATATGAGATAAATGTTACCAACTTACCAAATTATTAATTACACTAAGTTTTATCAATATTAAAATGATGAATATTTATCTTATACACATATAAAAATACTCCTAATGATTTGCTGAATATTATTTGTAGGTAGGATTAAATATAAATTTAGGTACCTTTAAATATAAACTTAATAATTTTAAACGAGAAATAAAATCCGGCATACTGGATTAAAATATTATAGTCCAAGCCACAATTTTTGGACGGTGGACCATAAAAAAACAAATGTCATATCGTAAATGTCAAACTTTGAATTCAATTTGTAGGCGGTTATTTTTCGATAAATTGGTACAGTGATATAAATACATTTTAGTATTGATTTTATCATAACATATAATTCTCCTAATTATAGTATCTCTGTGCAAAATTATATAAATCATCCGAGCCAATTATTAAGACCAATAATTTTCCCGCCGTTAAATGAAAGTAACACTTTTATAACAATGTTATCGACGGGAGATTTAGAAAGGCTAATTACAGAGAAAAGACGTGAGATACAGCAAGAGAAAACTGCTTTGGGTTTATCGCCGCTTCTAAACGATAGTAATGTAAGTATAAACGTGTATCAATCAACCTGTTGCTCAAGTATTAATGTAAGGGGCAAACTCGACTCTATTGTGTATGATATTGGCCCAACACACCCTTACATTCTTGTTTTTATGGAATTCTTCATTTTAATATTTATCGTCATTAGGTTTAGGTTTACATTAGCACTTATTCGTCTGTGTTGTAACTTCGGCCAGCTCGCCCAACGTCCAACGAGTGTTATATTGATTTTCTGCCAGTTGCCGGCGGTCGTCTATTGATTTGGTCGTATAGACGGTTTTCAGCGAGAATTTTTCAATTTTCGAAGAGTCGCTGACTATTTAATAATAAATATGCCTTACTAGTAACAATGTAAAATTTTTGTATGAGTGTCTGTGATTATTTTTATGTTTATTTTTATTTAATATCTTAATCCCTTCAAAGAAAACTAGGTAAGTGCTAAAAATATAGTAAATAAGTTAGCAAATGAAGTTTGAAAATGTTTATTATTGAAATTTATTTTTAATATATTATCAATATTTATTTTAAATATATTATGAAATTAAATGAAAGTTTGTAGAGTTTAAAAGCTTTTCAATAATATTTAGCTCTTAACTGTAGCTGTTTTTTATTAAATCTCAATGTAAGTTTGGGAAAAATAATGATATTATTATGATTAGATAGATAAATAAATTATAAAGTATATTATCAGAGTAACAATAAAATAATTTTATGTTTGGTTTTATATATAATATAAGTATTAATTTTAATATATATCTAGCACCAACCTTGATTATTCACTTAAAAATATTCATATATTTTTCTTATTTTTAAGCTAAGAAGATCAGATATTAGCCATATAATGTTATATAAACTTTGGTGTAAGTTAATGCTATCAACATCAGCTCTTTTATCTTTATAAAAAAAAATAGCTGTATATAATATTAATTCTAAATGGTAAACTATATTGTTATTGTTTATTAGGTCTGTATTTTCCAACTAGTAAGGTTTATTATTGATTGGCAGATTTTTTCAGGACATACAAGTTCTCTTAAAATATGTATTGAAAGTAAACATGAAAATGTCAAAAAGTATTGATTGCCTTCTAAGGCTTCTTTGCCCATTGTAGAATTTAATATAACGGATTTTCTTTTTTTTTTACTATTTCCTTATTTCTTTATTACCAATCCAATATAAAAAGTTATTGTGTTTTTTTAGTATTATCTGTTCCATGGTCTATTATAAGTTATATGTTGCAAAAAATATATTTAAATAACATAGCTATGAATATTAAAAGTGAATAGCTAGGAACCTGAACCTGACTGCCCTTTGTCTAATTCTTGCTTATCACACCCTCAAAAAAATTATGTACCTACTGCAAAAATTTTGAATTAAATCTTTGAATTTTTATAGTATACTAGCGGCTTACCCTTTTTCCCCTCGCACTTACCCCGCCTTTCGGGTTCGGTTATAACCCTATTAGTTTTCTGTGCCCAAGCTAAATATTCGCATCTCCTGTTATCCATATACTCCTGCCGCTTGCGGGCTTCTTCTGCCAACGGAGCTTCGACCGTTCTTTCGAATTCTACATACCACTTCTTTAATTCGATCAAATGTTTGTTACATTCGTCCAGTTCTCTCTGTAAAGGAATTGATAAATATTGAATACTAGTGACTACGAAAACAAAAACAAACCTATCCCACGGGAACCGTAATTTTTTCCGAGATAAAAAGTAGCTTATGTGTTATTCCAGACTATAATCTATCGCTGTACCAAATTTCATCCAGATCCTTTCAGCCGTTCTGGCGTGAAAGAGTAACAAACATGTTTTATAATATTAGTATAGATTTCGTAATCTATGATGGTTTTCAGGAGGCAACGGATAAGGAAAATGTAGAAAAGACTGAAAAGAAAGTGAAATTTAATAGACAAAGGGCTTTCTCAGAAAACAATGTGCCTCCTGATAGTAATAGCGGAACGTCGAAAGAGTTAAACGACGAAATACCGCCCGATTTGGAGAGATATATACGGGTATGTTATTTATATTTGACTTATTTACTTGCCGTTTTATAATATTTTTAGATTTTTTTCTATAAGTAGGCATTGAGTTTATATAAGAAAATATTTTGAAAAATTATGTTATACCTTTTTACTTTTAGAATTAGTTATTATTTTGTTAAACTTAGAAATTCGTTAGCAGCTTTTAAGAGTTGTACCGTTCATCAGGACATAATAAAAATACATATTTAAATTCACATGACACATGAACAAAAAATAGAACATATTATTGTAAAAGAAAATCTTTTTATTTTTTTTTCTAATTGATTTAAATAGTGACGTGAATTATTATTATCAACAATTAAAAAAAATACATAATATTAATAATTTATCCAAACAAAATAAGGAATAGTAGGTAGGTACACCTGATTGTTATATATTTAACGTTAGCAGTTTGCGTGCGCGTAATCGCTAGGTATGTGAACATCAAGCAATGAATACTAAGGAAATCTGGAAAAGTTATTTCATAGGTATTCTCAAAGATATATTTAACTCAATACTTTTTTGTAAAATTGAACAAACATGCCCGATTTCACCAACGTCACCTAAGTTTAAAGGATCCCCTAAGCATGGTTAGGGGACAGTTTCAGTTTCACCGACAGTTAGGGTTAGGGGTCACCTAAATGTTAAAAGGCCCCCTAAATTTAGATGCTCGAAATATGGGCTTAAAGACGATGGTAAAACAAAATTTAATTTAGGGGCTAGTTTAGAGGAATATTAGCTAGGGATTCCATACGTAGGTGGTAGCTTATGGGTTGTTGATGAAATCGGGCAACAGACATTTAATATTTTTTTCCGAGAAGGCAGAAACGTAAAACATTAGATTTTCAGTTACAATATCCGTCGTTATTATGACGATGTACCTATGTAATATTATAAATCAGTCACAAACACAGATATAGCCATTAAAATTAAAGGAGACCATAGTAACATTGAACTCCTGTCCTTCGCCATACTATAAATTGCCGACCTATAAATACCTGATAGACAATGAAAATCAGTCAAGTGTGAGTCGGTGTAGCACAGAGGTTTTATTCCACAGCATATTTATATTTTGTATGCATTTTGTATTATATATTAATTATTATATTATGTAATATGTTTGATAGTATATGTACATGTACTATACCTATACATTTGTTAAATATTGAAAACTAGCAGAAGCGCGATTCACATGTCCCCTTCGTCAATAAAAAATTCAACTGGTTACTATTGAATGTTCGACACAGCAAGCTCGTTAAGTGCTGACATACAGACAGAGTCTGTCCGAAAGACAAACCTCGTATGATTAATAACATTTTATCTTCCGGGTACGAAAAAAAGTGTACTGTATTCTATTTTTTTTTTCGACTTTTTTTTAATAATATGCATTTTTATAAATTAATTGAAGTAAAACTATCATTTCGGGTTTTTCCCGACCCGGTTTTCCCAACCCGGTTTGGTTCCCGACGTTTCGAATGTTTTTCAGCAATCATGGTCACGGTCAGACTCTGCGATCGACGAAAAAATACGAAAAGATAGTTTTATTTAAAATGACAAATATTCGCGTAATCTAAGAAAATGGTATTTATAAATAAACATTGAATAAAATAGGCAAAGACAAAACGGTTCAGTTCCATTTTCTACTCTGTTTGTCAACCGTTTTTCTTTTTTTTTTTGTTTAATTGCTATTGACGAGCTTAAGTGTTCAATCAAAAAAAACAATAATGATAAAAAAGTAAAAACTCTACACTGTATACTGAAATTTCTTAAACCCCACGCAACATAAATTTAATTGTGATAAAAATAGCTAAATGATCTCAAATGTTGATTAGTTCATAAAAATACACTTAGCAAAATTGAAAGAGCCGTTTCAACTTTGCCAATGTCAAATCAATGTAAAGCAGTAACTAACCTCCCGCTACACCCACGATTCAAAAAGGATGCTCAATTTAGCCATAAAAATAAAGATATAAACAACTCATAATATGTACATATATATAAGTTTTTATAACTTTATGAAATCGGAGCTAAATTATTAAGGAATCACTTTATTGTATTTATTTGTATAACGTATACACGTTTACATCTACGGTCGTATTCTCCATGATATGAAAGATTATATATAATACTAGCATTGCCATTGCTCGCGGCTCTGCCAGCGTTCATGACCAAAAACCAAATTCTTAGGTTTTACATATTAGTAGGTATACTCTTACATTGCAGTT